CCTCCTTTAAAAATCATGATTATTTGATGTACATCGAAGAATCGCGCGGCGTCATAACGGTAACACTGTCTGGCTTTGAAGTCGGGTGTCGCTTCTCTGTATTTCAAACTGATTTCAATGATAATTATCCGCCTAGCGATTGGTAGGTTTTTCATACCCGAAAACAATATCGAATATCGAATATCGAATATAGCTGTGCCTTCGATTTTGCTTTGACATATATCAAGGATGCATTGAACATATATATAATATATGGAATCACGAGGATGACTTTATCCTCCTCCAGTCTTAAGTGCCATCTCAGTCTATAAAGCTTCGTAAATTTTATTTTAGACTCGTGCAATTCCCATCTACCATTTCTTAGAGAACGTATGGCCACGGGGACATGGAGATTTGTGACAGCTATATATTTGGACCTAATCTAAGGTGTTCATAGTCATTTTACATGTTTTAGGGGTTTAGATTGACTTTCGGTGAAAATGACACCCCAATATAATCATATGTCATTTTTACCGAAAGTCGATCAAACTCCTAAAACATGTCAAATTACTCTGAACACCTTAGATGTGATCCAAATATAGTTGTAACAAATTTTCATGTCCCTGTGTGCACGGCATCATGAGCAGAGCTGATGTATACATGCAGATAATACGGAAATTTGTACATAGTTCAAAAGGTCATTTGTTGCCTGTATTTATAGGTCAGTCTTAGTTAAGAAGATATAGATAACGGGTGTAATATAACTGCTTCAGACCTGGCGTATCATTCTCACAGATAAAAGATGGGAGAACAACAGGTGAGTATATTTAATTAGGAAGTCAGTAAGAATTCTTAGTCATTTTTGTTCATTTAACAATTGCAATGTGCATTACGTAACTTATCAACCTTACTATATCCAATTGCATCTGTATTACAGGTAAGGGGAAAACTTAATGAAATGTCATTCCCTGTACAGGTGTATAGTTGTGTAGTGCCGTACCAGGTATTTACACAGTAGCGTTATCAGGTATAATAAATAACTTGCAAGGAACTTAAAATGACGTCACCGTCACTGGTATCAGGTCTACGTACCCCAGTTTATGTCAGAACACTGAACTGATAAATTACGGAAGACTTCGAATTGAAGAGATTGGTTTTGTTCTCTCCCACAAGTGTGCTTACCACAGCAGTACGTTATTCCCAGTTATACTTTTATAAAGTCCACATGAATAGCTAATACAATCATGGTAATGTGGGTGACAATGTTCATAGTCAATATGAGTGTCGACATGATCCATATAGTCAATATGAGTGTCGACATGATCCATATAGTCAATATGAGTGTCGACATCATCCAAACAGTCAATATGAGTGTCGACATGATCCATATAATCAATATGAGTGTCTACATGATCCATAGAGTCAATATGAGTGTCGACATCACCCATAGAATCAATATGAGTGTCGACATCATTCATAATCAGTATGAGTTTCAGCAACATTCATGGTCAATATGAGTGTCGACATCATCCATAGAGTCAATATGAGTGTCAGTAACATTCATTGCCAATATGAGTGTCGGTAACAGTTATGGTCAATATGAGTGTCAGAACATATTCATAATGAGTATATCAGTGTCAAATTATTCAGTCAAGATGAGTGTCAGTAACATTCATGGCCAATATGAGTGTCGGTAACATTCATGGTCAATATGATTGTCAGCAACATTCATGGTCAATATGAGTGTCAGCAACATTCATGGTCAATATGAGTGTCGGCAACTTTCATTGTCAATATGGGTGTCAGAACATATTCATAATGAGTATATCAGTGTCAAAGAATTCAGTCAATATGAGTGTCAACTTTATTTGTATTCAATATGAGTGTCAACTTTATATGTATTCAATATGAGTGTCAACTTTATATGTATTCAATATGAGTGTCAACAATATTTATAGTCTTTATACACAGTCATCAATCAATATGAATGAAAAACAGCTGATGCCAAGACGCCAAAGAGTCATATAAGACGATGTTTTCATTATAACTAAATATTTGTTATCATATTTTTTGTTTGTTTCGTTTACAGAAGTTCCGGGACTTTCGAATCAAGGGAATCGTGTCGGCCCCTTTTACACCGTTCAAGTCTGATGGGTATTTTTGACGTTCTATTCGGAATTACAATGATTTTGATATAAAAAAAGTATTTGACCAACTCAGTGATGGTACGGTTAATTGTTGGATATGCCAACCAAGCTCTATAAAATGGCATTGTACTTTTCATGAGGCAAAACGATAATGTAATTTTCAGCGCTAAAATGTCAGAAAAAAATTGACTTATGCCACGCTCTTACAATGTAGTTATAAAACCTAGTGTCTGCTACAAGTCACAAACATGTTAATCCAATTAAATTCTTTATTTCAAATTTGAAATTTCTAAATTTTGAATTTGCTTTTGTAGGTAATTTTGTTAACCACATCATTATATTGCGAATCAATTGCATATCTGTAACCTATTTCTGTGATAATTCGAGGGAAGGGACGCCCACAAACATCAGACACCTGTGATTAAAGGGGCAAAATTCAATCGACTTTTTCCTGAATGTATATCCCTGCACATGCGTCTTTGAAAATCGATCGCTAAAATAAGTATTCACGAAAATTAAATGATCTATACAGTGTTCTGAAATGAAATAGAAAATACTAACTCATCTATAACGATTTATTGGAGTGAAAGAAGTCGGCATTCGCGGTGCGCTGAAATACCGCTAAATTTAAGTCCTGTGAATGGTTAAAATGGCCGAGTGGTAATTAGACCTATTGCTATAAAATTGGAATTTTCAGAGACGTCAACTATGACCTTTTCCCTGCGTACGCCAAGTATCTACAGGACCACCACTTCCAGCATGCGTTTGGTAAGTTTTTTCATCAATACCATTGTTTCAAACAACCAGCCTTTTTATTGGATTTTTAGATTTCGTTGTTGTGTAAAATGCTGTTTTAAAATGGTTATTTTCGTATTATTTGCTTGACTGTCAGAACATTTAAAACTCCAAGATGAATTATTTGTTTACCAGCTTAAAATAATGTTTAAAAAAATCAGCGATTCAAATAAAACATCCCAATGTTTTACCGGTATAATATAACTATCTTTCATACGTATGGCAAGATCATGAGCGAATCATAACGAATTTGGTCCTACGTTTTCACGAGCATTCCTGAACCTACGTGAAAACCTCAACTGAAGCTTTAACATCGGAAGGTGTTGCTGTATTAGAACAAAACCCCTTTAATTATGTTTTTTTCTTCATTCAAGCGTTGCTTTCAAATGATAAAAAGTAGTTTCAGGAATTACGGTAAGGTAAGGAACGTTCGTGAAACTTGGACCTGGCTACTGAACACGTTAGGTAAAATACATCATAAACAAACATATTTTTACATGATTCGGTTTAATCGAAAATGAAAATCGCGCGAAAATTAAGTAATGAACAGTATTAAAACTGTTTCATCCACAGTCAACGGTACACTGGCTGAAGGCATGTCGCAGACCATAGACGAGAGGAAGGAAACGCTGGAAGCGTGGATGAAAGCGGCCGATGGAAAGTATGGAATCACATGGCTAAAGTAGTCATTTTATATTACCTCTACATAGCCTATAGTAAGCTCCGTGTTGAATAGATTGGTTTAAATGGAGTTTATTTTCTAACTGAAAAATGGTACATTATTTTTGTAGCGGCGATACCGGCCATCAAAGTATTTCGTCTTTGCGTATTGCAGAGTTATCTTCTCTTGTGAGCAGGTATTGATTGTTACGTCATTGGTTTGTGAGAGTAACGTCATCAATTTTTGAGAAAACGACGCAATTTTCCCACACAAACCAATGACGTAACAATAAATACCTGCTCACAAGAGAAAATATACTCTGCAATACGTAAAGAACGAGTCAATGGTTCTGTTTAGTTTGAGGGTTTAAATGTTTATAGAATCCAATGGTTCTGTATAGTTTGAGGGTTTAAATGTTTATAGAATCCCATGGTTCTGTTTAGTTTGAGGGTTTAAATATTTATAGAACCCAATGGTTCTGTTTAGTTTGAGGATTTAAATGTTTATAGAATCCAATGGTTCTGTATAGTTTGAGGGTTTAAATGTTTATAGAATCCCATGGTTCTGTTTAGTTTGAGGGTTTAAATATTTATAGAACCCAATGGTTCTGTTTAGTTTGAGAGATTAAATGTTTATAGAACCCAATGGTTCTGTATAGTTTGAGGGTTTAAATGTTTATAGAATCCCATGGTTCTGTTTAGTTTGAGGGTTTAAATGGTTATAGAACCCAATGGTTCTGTTTAGTTTGAGGGTTTAAACGTTTATAGAACCCAATGGTTCTGTTTAGTTTGAGAGTTTAAATGTTTATAGAATCCAATGGTTCTGTTTAGTTTGAGGGTTTAAAAGTTTATAGAACCCAATGGTGCTGTTTAGTTTGAGGGTTTAAATGTTTATACAACCCAATGGTTCTGTTTAGTTTGAGGGTTTAATTGTTTATAGAACCCAATGGTTCTGTTTAGTTTGAGGATTTAAATGTTTATAGAATCCAATGGTTCTGTATAGTTTGAGGGTTTAAATGTTTATAGAATCCAATGGATCTGTTTAGTTTGAGGGTTTAAATGTTTATACAACCCAATGGTTCTGTTTAGTTTGAGGGTTTAATTGTTTATAGAACCCAATGGTTCTGTTTAGTTTGAGAGTTTAAATGTTTATAGAATCCAATGGTTCTGTATAGTTTGAGGGTTTAAATGTTTATAGAATCCAATGGATCTGTTTAGTTTGAGGGTTTAAATGTTTATAGAACCAAATGGTTCTGTTTAGTTGAGGGTTTAAATGTTTATAGAACCCAATGATTCTGTTTAGTTTGAGGGTTTAAATGTTTATACAACCCAATGGTTCTGTTTAGTTTGAGGGTTTAAACGTTTATAGAACCCAATGGTTCTGTTTAGTTTGAGGGGTTAAATGTTTATAGAATCCAATGGGTCTGTTTAGTTTGAGGCTTTAAATGTTTATAGAACCCAATGGTTCTGGTTAGTTTGAGGGTTTAAATGTTTATAGAATCCCATGGTTCTGTTTAGTTTGAGGGTTTAAATATTTATAGAACCCAATGGTTCTGTTTAGTTTGAGGGGTTAAATGTTTATAGAATCCAATGGTTCTGTATAGTTTGAGGGTTTAAATGTTTATAGAATCCCATGGTTCTGTTTAGTTTGAGGGTTTAAATATTTATAGAACCCAATGGTTCTGTTTAGTTTGAGAGATTAAATGTTTATAGAACCCAATGGTTCTGGTTAGTTTGAGGGTTTAAATGTTTATAGAACGAAGTGGTTCTGTTTAGTTTGAGGGTTTAAATGCTTATAGAACCAAATGGTTCTGTTTAGTTTGAGGGTTTAAAAGTTTATAGAACCCAATGGTGCTGTTTAGTTTGAGGGTTTAAATGTTTATAGAATCCAATGGATCTGTTTAGTTTGAGGGTTTAAATGTTTATAAAACCCAATGGTTCTGTTTAGTTTGAGGGTTTAATTGTTTATAGAACCCAATGGTTCTGTTTAGTTTGAGGGGTTAAATGTTTATAGAACCCAATGGTTCTGGTTAGTTTGAGGGTTTAAATGTTTATAGAACCAACTGGTTCTGTTTAGTTTGAGGGTTTAAATGTTTATAAAACCCAATGGTCCTGTTTAGTTTGAGGGTTTAAATGTTTATAAAACCCAATGGTTCTGTTTAGTTTGAGGGTTTAAACGTTTATAGAACCCAATGGTTCTGTTTAGTTTGAGAGTTTAAATGTTTATAGAATCCAATGGTTCTGTATAGTTTGAGGGTTTAAATGTTTATAGAATCCAATGGTTCTGTTTAGTTTGAGGCTTTAAATGTTTATAGAACCCTTTACAAGACATGCAATGTATTTCGTCTGGTCCGGCTGTGTTAACTGTATGCACCTGTGACCATTAACGACCTAAATGAAGCTGATTCCAGTGAATCAAGTTTGTGACAATAACTCATCACTGCATGTTCGTAAGGGATAACCTGTGTTAGTTTATATATACAGAGTCTCCTTTAATATCTGTCGTCATTGTGACCAATTGTTACAACCACACCACGTTATTCCGTCTTTGCGTATTGCAGAGTTATCTGCTCTAGTGAGCAGGTATTGATTGTTACGTCATTTGTTTGTGATATTAACGTCATCAATTTTTGAGAAAACGACGTAATTTCTCACACAAACCAACGACGTTCACAAGAGAAGATAACTCTGCAATACGCAAAGACAGAAAGACTAAAACAAACCAAAACTATACGGCAACCATACTTCTTTACACTGCTAACAAGAGTGAAAGCGTATAAGCGGTTTGCCTTTTTAAGAGCCTCAATCGCTGAAGTGCTTGTTTATCCCGAAATCATGACACAAATAGGTTTTCGCGCTACATCAAAGAAATAACTCCCTTGTAAATTCTTCAGGTGCATAATTATAAAGAAAGTTCTTTTCGCAAATGCATTTGCTCACAAAGAAGTCGTCTAAAGCACAAACGCGTTCTCACGAAGATGATATTAATCACAAGGATAGTACATTTGCACTATCCCCAGCAGGTTCAGAGAAGGAGACGTTCTGTACCCCACTCCCATGCTGATCATAACAATTGCACGATCATGTGAGGCGACTAATGTGCCCCTAATACTATCCCACACACGCCTCGACTGATTTTGACATTCCCGTTGCAACATGTACGGTAGCATGTTCTGTGTTGTTTCCATAAACACCGTTTCCATGTGATCCTTATTATTTTTAGCTGTTTTGATGACGTAAAACACTGAAAGTATATCGTGTGGGAGGCACCGTAGTCTAGTGGTAGGACGCCGGGCTCGTGAGCGAAGGGTTGCGAGTTCGAGTCACGACACGGCACTGTGTTGCATCATTGAGCAAGATACTTTACTCAGCTTGTTCTAGTCTACTCAGCTGTAAATGAGTACGTGGTTGGGCAGTGCCAGAATTGTTGAATGCTAGCTGTGAGCACCGAAATGGCAGCACCGGTTGTATGCTCCCCAGGGAGTTGAGAAAGACATTGGCTGGTTGCAAAGACCCTTTAACCACGGATGATGATTTGTGAACCGCGTTGAGACGACCTATATACAGCTACGAACTAGGTTGTGATAAAGCGGTACTCGAATTATTATTATTATTATTATTATTATTATTATTATAAAACAAAACATTCACACAATCCTTTAGTTGATGAGTTCGTTTCTATTGTAGAATTGGTATAATAGCACATGTAGGAACGAACAACCTCCGAGACGCCAAGGAGTTAGTAAGTATACTTGACGGTATACCTATCATCAAGATAAATCCTTAAATGTATATTGAAACAATTAAATGAGACGGATATTTTACAAGTACTTATAAGTACAAATCCGGATTATCCTATGTTCATTAAATAATCCATAGATATCTAAGGTTTTGATAAACCAGGTCTGTATAGCTGTAAAGCAGTAGCAGGTTATTGTATCAAAATGTACCGTAGAACCCTGTGTACTTGGTAGGCATACGTATGTATTATGATGTTAATGTACCTCTCAAGGTATTGGCATACTGTACATGCTATTTATTTATCAATTATGGACGTTTGTTGAGGTAAATATGTGGTTATATGGACCTAAGAAAGAGATAGTAATCGAGACTAAGTCGAGGTCAATATCACATTTTCAGGTTCATACAACCACATATTCACCGAAATAAAAGCCATGAATTGTTATAGTAGATGGTAAATAATGTTTAAATCAAATCGAATGTATGTCATCTAATAATTCTAAATAAGCTCTTCATTTCTTCGTAATTCTAATGGATATTTTCAATGTTTGTCTTTATATCTTAATGAAACAATTTGGTCATTTATAACGTTTAATGATTCGCATAATAACATAAAAAACGAAACAGTTTATACTGACTTTACACACATGGAGAGAAAAAATGAAAGACACTGTCTTTCCCTATTTTAGGCCCGTCACGCGGAAAAGATTGGAGTCGAGGCGATAGCAGCCTTAGCGCCTTCATTTTACAAACCAAAATGTGAAGGTAAGATTTTGGTTGGTTATTTGCCGGTTGAAAAATCTCATGCAAATGTTTGTTATTGATGTATTTTGTTTTTAATCTTTTAAAAAGAAAATATCCAACATGTGGTCATGCATTGATTATTCTACCACGTCTTCGATGAAACGACACTTTTCATTGGTTAATAAAATGTATAAATGGACGATCTTATATGCACTTGCATTTCCCATCAGCGCATGTACGTGCAAAGCTTTTATATTCAAGTTAAGACAAATTGCATTATTACAGCCTGTTTTATATAATATTTTGATAGATATTACATGTTTGTAGTATAAGTATTTGATTAAGAACATTGCAGTCTACATAAATGTGATATCACTTTTTTTCCTTTTCCTTTTATTTTGTCAATGAAAGCTAATGAATGCTGATGCCATTACGTATTTTATGTAGTAGTTGTATTTCAATAGGATTTACAATAATTTAAATACAGAATTATTTCTGTATTACAGAGGACTTGGTTGACTACATGGCGGAGCTTGCTGCAGCAGCCCCAAACACCCCGTTCTATTATTATTGTATCAACTTTGTTACCGGAATTTACTGTAAGTATATACGCCCCCCAAATACGGGCGTCAGTCGATTTTTGATAAATCGCTAGTTAAATAAAGAAGATGTAATATATAAGTGATAAACAGCTTATCACAGGGTGTTTTCAGGGGTTGTCGTTCGAGCAATTATCTTATCACTCATCCATGTTAAAAATCTCGAGTCTACTGCCATGAGAGAGCGATGAGAAATAATTTCCCCAACAATCCTAATAGTCTATAGTAGTCTATACGAATATATGATTTAGATGATTTAAGAAGGTTTATATCAACGATATTTGATTTTCCAGTAAATTCGGCGAAGTTTTTAAGCCTTGCTAAGGACAGGATCCCTACCCTGTGTGGACTGAAGCATTCATCCAGGGAATTGACCAGTGCCCACAGCTGTAATTTGGTAGACAAGGATCGTTTCCAGGTCCTTATGGGAACGGACGTGGTAAGAGTAGTTTTCCTCTCACAGATAACAGGGACCTGAGCATTTGTTACAGATTATCTATGTTTAGACTTAAACGGATGTGTGAAGTGTTATATTAGACACCTTAGTGGTTTAGATCAACTTCCGGTAAAAATGCCACCCCCATACTGGTTTTTACCATAAATTGGGTTGCAGTTTTACCGAAAATATATCTTAATCCCTAAAGTGTCTGATATTACACTGGACACATCAGTGTGGGTCCAAGCATGGATAAACTGCAACAAATTTCTTATTCCCTGTGTTTCAGACCTGCAACAGGAAATGTCATTAACACATCTATAGTATAATGCATACTTGTCAAATCTTTCTATTTTTGAGTGAGACTCCCGATTTTGGACCCTTTAAATTACTATTTCCAGCCAGTGAATTTGCTGAAGTATTCCTGCATTCTGAGATATAACGATTTTCTCTTTAGGAAATGTTTTGTGAAGACTATAGACTGGTGAAATTTTGCTTTGAATGACATGTAACACCAATGATCTCATATATGAAAAAAGAAAGAGAAAGAAAAAAGAAACGTATATATGAGTTTCACAACGAATATAAACAAATATATCTTATGTTTCTCTCTGTGATTGTTTCAGCAATATATTACGGCCTTGAGTGTTAAGATTGAAGTCCCGGTGACAGCGTCATATCTAGGGGATATATACTTCAGACTGAAGTCAGCTTATGACAAAGGAGATAAAAATACCGCTGATGAGATTCAGGTAATTGTTAAGGAAAAAAATCATTATACGTTATCTATTTACACATGCGGTTTTTTTTTTATTTAAAAAGCCTAATTCATTATTTCTTGTTTGCGAAAGACACTTGTAAAATAGTTTTATTTTTTAATTAAGGATTGTATTTGATTTCCTCATTTGTCGTCTACAGGAAACAGCACAGTTGATTAACGACATCAGAGGACGCTACGGTACGCATACCTTTTATCATCACGCTTCTATCTTTTTGTTATGGGCTGTTTTTTCTCTCCTTCATTTTTCTGTATGGAATTGTAATTATCCCCCTTTTTATATATTTTTTTAAAACTTTTGTTATTTTTTGCTTGCTTTTCTATATTAAACAATTACAAGTAATAAACTAGAATTATCTCTCTTTCATTATTATGTACTAAACTGTCTCCTTTTTGTTATTATTGATTTAACTACAGTTGTATTAACATCTTCTTTGTTCTTTGTAGTATTCTATATTTCATTATTATTATCCCTCTTTTATTATTTTGTATTTTACTATCATTATTATCTCTCTTTTGGTATTTTTTAGTAAACGTTTATTGTATCCCTCTTTTGTTATTCTGCATTAAATGTTTTATATCTCACCTTTATTATTTGGTTTGAAACAATAATTATCTCCCCTTTTAGTCTTCAATAAATGTGACTACTTGTTTTATTCTACAGGTATTTTTTTTTTATATCTACCTGTATGACGATTCTCCATAACCCCCAACCCTTTATATTAAGTTCCTTCGACCATAATACATGTTAGTTTATTTGTTATGATGTACCATGATCTTTTCATTTTACTATGATTGTAAATTTAGGAAATTGAATTCAAAATTTCTAAAAAACAAATCACGTATTCTGAAAAAAAATGTATACAGATGAAAATGTTTGTTTATGAATGATTTCCTTAAACGGTTTTAGGTGGAGATATACCAGTTGCAAAGAAAATGTTTTCCATAGTGTCTGGTATTGATGTTGGGCCAGTGCGCATGCCAATGAAGGATATAAGTAAAGAAAAAGAGGAAGGTTTGAGGAAGGAGTTGCTGGCAACAGGATGTTGGTGAAACACATCAGGTGTATACCAGAAGAGAGAGTTACTCAAGTCATGAAGAAACTGTTAAGAAATCAAATAAAAAAAATCTTTACAGATTTGAAATAGCAATTTTGAAAAAAAAGTATTCGATACACACATTATTTGTTCGTTTCTTTGAAATTCAATGGTTTTTCATAATGTTACAACATACTGCTTACTGGAGAGATTTCGCTGCAGTTGTATTTTCCTTTTTGAAACCTCCGACTTCAAGATGAGAACGAAGTTTAGAATACAGTATGCTATGCGTAATACATTCAATGTGAATGATACAATTTACACAGGGCGAATACGAATGTTACCGATGAAGGGCGAATATTTAACCTGGATGTTTTTTCTATAGTACAGTATTTTATTTTTAAATATCCGACATATCTATAATCCTGCTTATCATGAATTATCATTGACAGGATATCAATGCAAGCGTCAGACTAGCGTTATAATGGGAAAAGCAACTTCATCAAAATCTTCATCAATCTGCATTTTTGTAAACCACGTGTTGTAAATTTATTCGTCTGCAGGCGACATCTGTCACGGGAGTCATAATATTCGTAGCAAGCTCTTGTGTACCGAATCAACTCGGATATGGAAATACCGTTAGTTGGGAAGCAGATATGTTACTATCAAGAAAGGGAAAGTTCACGATAGGAAAGTCGAAATCGTCCCATATATCGTACAGCTTTGTAGGAAAGCCGTTGGGTTATGTTGTAAGTTAATATCGTGGAAATAGGCTGCCGTAGAAGAGTGTATAGTGTTCTTGATTTCAAGCTCAGGAGGGTATATACCTTCGATGTGGTTAATAAATTTCTTGTTATTTAAAGACTGCACATCGTCGATATCTCTTAATGTGAGATTGAATGACTTATCAGAAAGAGTGGTGACATCAATAAAGGCAGTTTTGTGCTAATCCATGAAACTCTAACACAAATTTCAATTGGGCTGCACTTTGCTTCGTCAGGATATCATCGCGACAAGTCAACATAACCTTTCCCTGACAATATATTTTGATAGCATTTCTTCAATTTTAATTCACTTTGCAAGGAAAGGAGTGATTTTTTAAGGATTCATTTTGATGAAAAAGTGTAAAATACATTTCAAATTACCGCACATAACCAATACTCTTTAGGCTTCAATCTCCCGGGTTTCCAAAGGGTTGTAATTTCAACTGCACCGGTAATAGACAAAAGTTCTATGAAAAGGCAACAAAAGAAATAGTCGACCACCCTATAAAAAGGAAAGAAATCCGACTTTTAAGAGGGACACGAAAATAGACATTTACTTGAATCACTAGTGTGACCCTTCATGATTTATCCAATTTAATTTTAAGAAGTACGTCCCTGCACCACACTCTTTCTTAGACACAGTAAACACATCTTTTATCATGAGATCTTCTAATTGGAATTGTAGTCATGATAAAGACCGCAAATTGTTTTGAGTACTATCATTTGTTTAATGGTTTTGATGTGGGATTTCTAAAATGTGTATTGACAATGTGGTGCAATATAATGGTCTATGTTTTCCATCAAAATAAACAACAAAAGAAACAAAAAAAACAAAACACAACAAGAACATTCATAACAACAACAAGAACATTCATAACGAGAACAACAGCTAAAACCACTGCAGCACGAACAGCACCACTTGTACAGTACCATTAGCATCAACAAAATCAGCATAAACAACAGCAAACTCGAAAGACAATATAAGACGGCCGCTACCCTTACACGATACAGTGAAAAACATGTTCTATATTACAATACACGCTTTGCTATTCCCTCTTTGCGTATTGCAGAGTTATCTTCTCTTGAGAGCGGGTATTGCGTCATTTGTTTGTGAAAGCAACGTCATCAATTTTTGAGTAAACGACGCAATTTTCTCACATAAACCAATGACGTAACAATCAATACCTGCTCTCAAGAGAAGATAACTCTGCAATACGCAAAGACGGAATAAAGCTGACAAGGCTTGGTGAACGACAAACGAAACCGACCTATTATTATGCCTGTACACGATTCAGACATGTTGGTTTGCATATAAAACCTGCATAAATTTATGGATTACAAGAGACCACTCCGACAATAGGTATCCCATCAGACACGCCGAGAGTATAACCATACCAGAAGCAACGATGGAAGAACAACAGGTAATTGGTACAGCATTGCTAAGACACACCAGTGATTCATGCAATAATTATGTTTATTTTATGATTGCGAAAAACCCTATGCGTTTGTTGTACATTTGAAGTCAAAATGTGAAAATCAGTAATTGAAGGATTGGATGCTTAAACATTGGAGTGTGTACTGTCGTATTATATACTCAAATCAGGTAGGTCATCTATATTTTAAGACGCCTTAAACGTGTCTTTTGTCACAAGAGACTTTAAAATCTCATAGTTAGAAACTAAGTCATGGCGAACGTTGTGCATTTTCCAAGCAGATTGAATGATGTAGGTAGGAAACCCTAGTTAATAGGTTTTTTTTCCATTAGTTACATGTACAGATGCTCCCGATATTGTTAATATACTTTCATATACAATGTAGTATATATCCATATATGTTATAGATTTAGTCCATCGACACCAGCTCACTATCTTGCCCTTTATTTGAATAGGTTAATGACATGCTGAAAGTACATATCTTAACCGATGTTACATCAATTTAAGATTTTAACACAGTTTGGAGCTATGTTTAGTAAAACTAACACAGGTGGTTAGTGCGTTTTCGCTGGAAGGTCAAATATTCTGATTCCGCGGATGGCCCTTGGGGTTGTGTCATTCAACAAGACAATACACCGTCGTTTCTTAACTCTGCTAAAACTTGAGCTAAACATGTAATGGTCTTTGCTTCAGCCTTTAATTCCATTGAAGAGTCCTAAATGGAAAAAATGGCCATATGGCGCAGAAACATATTTCTCTTGTTTGACTCTCAGCGTCGGGAACTGTTTCAGAATTTGTGTTTCATAAGTTCGTATTTATAGCTATTATTTTGGGTATTATGTTTTCCCTGCTGTTGGGATACGGTATGACAAATATACAAATGAGCCGTTAGAAATACAGACTAATAAAAAGTAGAACACCGTATTTACACATTTACAGCAAATTACTATAGTATACTGCTTGTCATACTAGAGGAGGGACATACGAAACAGGAAAGAGCATATCTGCACTATATTGTATTCATTCTAATTGATTGACACCTTGATGGTCTGTCGTGATGCATTAATGATATGTTGATTTATTGAAATCAGAATTCAAAAGCATGCTTAGGAATACCAATGTAGGGGATAATTTTCTCATGTACAATCTTTGTTTACTGGCATGTGAGGACGTGTGAAATTTAAAGCCGTCATTCACTTAAACAATATCACCATTATTACATGTACATGTCCACTCATATGTGACATTAACAAAAATAATTATAAGAATTATATAAGTTTAATCAACCTCGAATTAACTGCAGATTTTCAGATTTCGTGTATAATTACATCAATTGCGCAAGAATATCAGATTTAGTAAAAAAAATATAGACCAAGTAAAGACTAAACAAGCGAATGAAAGTTAATACAAAGATACCATGCATATGCACGCACATCCGACTTAACTATTTACTTAACTAATGCAATGCTTAGGTATAACACTGCTGTCCCCATTTTTGCTTTAGTGGTTTTAAAGACATTTTTGAAAAATATGGATGTAAATGAAGTCTGTACATTCGTCAAAATACAACTTACACTCGAAATAAAAATGCAGCACCATGAACAAACAGACAAGTAAAACGTTACATAGAAAAAATACAGGAAAGACCAGGTGTTCCTGAAGAAGAAGCTGACAGTTTTTAGTTTTATTGGCCACCCTAACATGGACACGAGAAAATTAACATGACGATATTCAATCAGCTATCACATTTATTTTGATTTATAAGGTAACATCATCATCTTTCTTGATAGAAAATCCGGAACTTCCGTATCCGAGGAGCAGTGTCAGCACCGTTCACAGCCTTCAAACCAAATGGGTATGTTGAAGATTAATCAGCAAACGATAATGGCACACCAGGGCCGCTTTCGTTTATCACGATACAAACGGTTGGACAAGAGTTGTTCGATTATGCAATAAGGTCGAACCTAGTAATCTGATGCTGCTTTCAGGTGAGCATTGATGGGATGCACGAACTTTTGCAGGTCTGCCAGGATTTACACCAAAAGATGTTGCATTTATAATCAGACGAACCGAACAGGCCCCAGTATTCCTTATATAATTTATATCAAGTACGTAAAGCAATGTCTAAATATATCGATGGAAACTAAAGCTTTATTTGAAATCTATGATATAGATTTTGGTTACATGGGATGCGATCTATATATGTGGTATGTGTTTTATATAATCCTTTATTAAAATTAAATATATTCAAAGTTGAGGTATATTACTGTATTGAGTAAAGGATCTCTGTCCTACTGACGAGAAAACACTAGACACTTCCAACGTTTTTTTCGTACATACAGTAACCTCCCCTTTATTGCATTTAAGATGTAACTGTTGCGGCACTAAGACAGGGTACCACGGTTGACGTTGTAGCTCGATCGGTTAGAGTAGAGAGGCAGGATAATGTTAAGAGGACACGCTTTCGAGTTCTGGTTAGCCCTCGTCGTATTGTTTACACTCACATCACTACTGTTTAGGGTTTTTTCATCTTTAATTTTTGTGAAATGTGGCGCCGCGCAACATATTGTTTTCTTTTCCGAGATGATTAACGAAAGATGAAGTAATGCAGGGAAACGTTTTCAAAACACTGTCACAGTTTTTGACAGTGTTACGGGGATCCTAAAATGTGAATTAATGTATTAGCGAATAAGTACTCGGAAACGTCAGTTTGTGATATTAAGTATATATTCATGTAATATAAGCAGGAAGTAATAATCTGCAGCATACAACGTTCTGTATTGTACATGTGCAATACGGAATGTTGTATTTACCTACTAGCCGTAACTACTTTTTATAAGTTTATAAAATCTTTGTATCGATCTCTACCAAATACGGAAGGGATGTGATAAAAGCAGGACCACACACTTGTCTTTTTTTAACGAATCAGAAAGCACTCATTTATTGCACGGACGTATATATTCACTCGTTGCTCTCCGCTCACTCGTGAATATACATGTTAAACGTTCTCATTGTACTTAAACTCGTGTACGTCCTTGTGACCTAAATCTGTCTTCTACCACCGTCCTTGCCTCATACATTTCGCGTCAGAATAACCTTAAACAGAACTGACCCATTTCAATACCTAACTATCGATTTTTTACCTTTAATTTCACACATTTACCATACATATACATGTGTTGTATTTCGCAGCTTCTAAGCTAGAAGTATTTGTTTAAAGAATAGATAATAATGTTGAAAAATTCACAATGTTAAAGTAATGTTTCACAATTTTAAATTATTTGAAGGACAACATATTTCGATGTTGAAATAACTTTGATTTTTTTGCAACGTTATGTTAACAACGTTGAACTAATGTTAAATCAATGCAAATATATCTTATAAGGACCTTATTTTAACGTTACGAATAACAAAACATTATTTTGACGTTAAATTCACATTAAATTGACATGAACCTTTAACATTATATTCAGTTCACTGGTTATTTCTGTGAGATTGGCATTTAACATTTACGATATACTAACGTTTTATGTTGTTGTAGACAAAGTATTTTTTTATTGTTCTTCTTGTTCTAAAATAGTTAAATAACAGCTTACATTTATCTGCATTTATTTTGCGTGCGGAAATATTCGCGTTATGACTCTTTAAATAATTTGCGATGTGGATATGTTTGCATTAATTTACTCAACGCAAAAAATGCGAACATTTCCACACCGCGAAACTTCTACTTTTACAGTATATGAGAATATATGAATTGAATCTCTATATTCTGTATAATGATGCGAAAAGGATGATAAACGTTTAAATAGAGGAAGGGTCGTGAATAGTGAATAATATTAACTGAATTATTAGTCAATTTTACTGGATATTGTCTAGTTTTCATTTAGCAATGTAGTTAATATTACAAATTTCACGTCTCATTAAACAATTGAGCAATATGTTCTTGATATATTTTCTTTTCATTACTGCTGTTACAGAGAAATCAACTATGAAATTATTCCCGCGTTCTGCTCGTACCTGAAAGACCATCATTTCGAATATGCATATGGTAAGTGATCTCATACACAACTGCAATAATTTGATGACACATCTTTGGTCAATTAACACTCAACAATACATCACCAATTAGACTGATATAATCTATTTGCTCATGCCTCTGTCAAACATATCGATATCCCATTGATTCCTGTGTGTTTCCTGTAAACTTAATACTGTTATATTTTGTCGCTAGTGCAATATGTTGAATCATTATGAGCTCATGACTAAATATGACATCATGGTCTTGTCTCGATTGTGGCGTCATAATCGATAGTCCAGAAACCACGATTGGAGGTTATTGATTTGTGATCAGTGCATTGCTCATCGGCGTGAGGTGTTTTTCTCTAATTGCCTACATGGTGTGTTTTTTTGTCTCAAGTTTAGATTTGTTTCTTTATCAAATCCTATAGGATCACAACTTGCCTTTACTGAACCGGAAGTGATTGATTGGTATCGTAATATACTTGTGGATAAACTACTGCGATCTAAACTACATATTGAATTATTAAAAAGCAATGTTGATATGATTTGTTTTATTCAATATTTTCATGAATTGATGTTTAATTTATTGTTTATTCTACTTTATATTTTGCGTAACAGTGGTGATATTCATACGCAACCAATGTGACTTCGTTCACCAATATAATATCGTAGATGTTTAAACTGAGTAGGACTGTGCAGGAACAATACCTACCATTCTCTACCTTTATTAATTTGCAAATATATTCACCTCAAGCTAAATTTCCGAAGTTTCCATACCAGTCTTTGGTTCGGATATTCAGCAGTCTTATACCCTTTGTGTTTAGATTAATTTGTTTTATGTGCAAATCACGGAAAATTAATACTCGTTATGTGATGTGTTAATGAACAGATATGATACCGAGTGCTTTTTTAGTTCAACCACTTTCATCTCGCCCGATTCTACCCGCAAAAACTTAACTGATAGCATTCAGCCAACAACACATTATAAACCAATACTGCAATAGAAAGAAACGTGTATAAAATAGTGTCCTCCCTTAATGTTACAGTAAATGGTACACTGGGAGAGGGGATGTCACTGACCATTGAAGAGAGAAAGAAATCCTTAGAGGCTTGGGTTGAAGCAGCTGACGGAAAGTAAGCATGTTAGCGTAATGTCATTAACATACAAAATTTTGCGCTGTCTAAATAAACCTATCCATCGAATATGTTGCTAGCCAAATAACAGCACAAGCCATTACACGTGGATGTTTTCCTATCGGAAAATGTTCGGATCTCACCGTCAGCTGTTTGAGTTATCGGGGACGAATCATGACGTGACGTCAAATTCAAATTATGATGGAAATTCCCGTATGGTTTCAAATGACATTCGCCGATTAAATGAACTTGTAACCATAGAACATACAATCTTGTTAACACAAGAATGTCTGTTCCTTCAATTGATAAACAGTTAGTCCAAAAAGTATTGTGTTTTGTAAGTTTTGAACATAAATTTAAGTATCAAAATGCATATTTCATTCAAACATATTTTCCAAGATACTTATAATGGAATATGTTTGTAAAGAACTGTATTGCATATCATCTTACATGTTAAAAAGGAGGCATTCCAAACCTTAACTGAAAGAACATTCATGCAATTCCAATGAAACAAAAACAATGATTTTCAATGTTAATCGGCATTGAACAAATATTGCAGTAGTGTGCAAACATCTTAAACAAGTTCTGAATAACGGAGAGAAAGTTGTATGTCCTTCATGCTTTCTGGCCTGTTTCAGGATTGGAATAATAGCTCATGTTGGAGCAAATAACCTCCGGGATTCACAGGTTCTTGTGAGTATGAGGAATATTCATTTTATTAGATTAGACGACAAGAAAAGAGTACACGGTACATTTGTGGTAGTGAGTCACATAGTCGCTCAGTGGCTACTGAGAAGAACATTTCTTATATCCCAATTGGTAGAACATTCGACCTGTACTCTTTAGTCTTGGCATCAACTTCTATCAACAGTACATGGATAAATTTAAGTGACTTCAAATACATCGGCGACCATGCAGGGAATACATATTATTATCAACATCTTCTTAACTTTTCACAAGCTCTCACAAGCATTGTTGTACTCCTCGCGATTCTAAAATGAGAGGGAAGGAGTAAGTCATAGAAATGAAGTTCCATATAGTTAATTGTTAATTACTATGCTATTTGAGTTTTCCTTAACGCCCAGCCGGGACAGCACTGGGAAAGTAAACTGTAATTCCGGGCTCTAATCGTAAAACATGACCTCGGCTACACATATATTTGATTCACCTGTTTCCTTCTAGGCCCGCCATGCTGAAGACGTTGGGGTTGATGCCATAGCCGCTCTTGCACCATCATTTTTCAAACCAACAAATGAAGGTAAGTAAATTCAACTCTTTGATATTGAATCGCCTATCATTATTATAAACATTTAAATATATTTCGCAAGATATACACTGTTTCGAATTTATATGCGTAGAGTCGATCGCGATTTAAATATTGATCATGCAGGTACATTTTGGTTTTATTGGGTTCATATAATCCTTCGGATTACATTCACAAAATAAGTTCGCTAAATATACGAGGGGATTAACATAAATATCTTGCAATACTTTATGGGGCATTTTTAAAATATTGCATTGTTTTTTGGAAAATTTGTTATGTGTTCATGAAAAATGTATATACAAGTTTGAAACCGATTATTAGACGTACACCGAATGTTCTGAATTTGCTTAGTGAACAACTGCACCGATGATATCTGTTGTTTAAGTATGTGAATAACGTTTAATGATAAATTGGGATTAAACATAGAAAACAATAAATTGCTTTCCTTATTATTCCCCCGCATTTTATTTTCCCTGAATGATTCAGAACCAACGGTTTGGTGGCGCAGTGGATAGCGCACTTGCTTTTCACCAAGGCGACTGGGGTTCGATTCCCTGATCGGACGTGAAAAGGTATGGGGTCACCCGATCACGTGGGTTTTCTCCGGGTACGCCGGTTTCCACCTACTTTAAGACCCCCACGCGCTATCATCCGGGGCAACAAGAGTGATAAACATAATTGTTGTAAAATAAGTTAATATTTTTATTCAGAACCAGAATTACTTTTGACGATAGTATGATAAACATTACAGAGGCACTGGTGGAATACATGGCTGCAGTGGCTGGAATGGCTCCTAAAACACCTTTCTACTATTACTGTATCAACTATGTCACCGGGATTTACTGTGAGTACTTTTCATTTTCATTGTACAGTTATAATTTTGTCGGGTGGATAAATATTCTTCATACCATATATTTCGTTTTTCGTTTTTTTTTTGTTTTTTTTGCCAGATAAAATACCCCGAACATTGAAACACGCTCTTTTGATGACATATCGAAAAATGCCACTCACTGTCAATTTAATTGTGGAAAATGAGCAAATTCGCGAAGTTTCCATCACGCGTAAAAAAAAAAAAATGATTAAAGGTAACGTACATCTGCTAACTGAATTTTTTTTGTTTGCCGTTAAACTTTCTGCATGTATTATGCAGTGAGCATCGAACGCTAAGTTCTAAAATTGTCTAAATGTTCGAATAATGTTTGACCGTAAGCTGATACATTGCTGGAAATTTTCAAAATGTTTGAATGCTGTTTAATGCTTATTAGTGAATGCGGCCAAATTTCTACGCCTTGCCAAGGATAAGATTCCAACACTTTGCGGACTTAAGCACTCATCCAAGGAACTGACCAGTGCCCATAGCTGTATGATGGTGGACAAGGATCGATTTCAGGTCATGTGTGGGACCGATGTGGTAAGGAATAACTTTGTATAGCAAAAAAAGGAAAACAAAGTCTTACGTAAAAACAAATTATAACAGCCCTTCTGCAGGCAAAACAATAGGGAATTCCACTGTTTTATTTGTATAATATAAAGTTAACTCTCATTCAATTCGTTTAGGATAGAACTGTAGTGCAACTGGGAAAGTGTGCTACTGCAGGCTAGATGTTCCAGTATGTTAGAGAGAATTGATTGGAATTACAGGGTTTGAATCCGTGTCTAGTCCTGTTGCGTATCCAACTTGGAAATTTCATTTCTATTTTGTTTCATGAAAAGTTCCGGAAAGTGTGTTTTTCTTTCAGAAATGATTTATTAAAGCTATGATCTTGTCGGAAAAGAAGTTTCTAGCGCATAATTACAATTTTTGGCAGTGGTATCAGATTCCGTAACATATCGCGAGCCTTATAATCATTTATGTTCTCTTTTTCGGAATCTTCTCCATCCGTTTATAAAGTGGAACCTCATTAGCAGCAATGCTGAACTATCGGTCACGTCGATTTTATTGATGTTTTCTAGCAATACATAACGGCGTTAAGTTTGGGCATTGATGTACCAGTATCGGTGGCCTTCATGGGGGATGTGTTCTACAACCTGAAGACAGCGTATGATAAAGGAGATATGGCCTCAGCTATGAAATTCCAGGTAAGATCAACAACATAAATACTAAGTCTGGTCATCGTTTTTTGGCATTGGATGACTTTCTGTTTTAATAATATCTAAATTCTGTTTTTGTTGATTTGTATAACCAAAGAAATTGCAAGTCATTGTACTAATTTCCATAAAAATTATGTGCCATGTTTTCCTATTTTTGTTTGTTCTTATTCTCCTTGTTCTCCTTCTTTAATATTGACTGTAACATCAGATGTAGGTTTAATACTTATCTTGACAGATAGCTGTAAAATTAAGTACTTTCTATTGATACCACGTAAATGAATCGCAGATCACATGAACTCAATACCGCATTAATCTCCAAATCACAGCGCAGATGTTTAAAACAAACGCGATGAAAGTAGGGGAAGTAACTGTAACCCAAGTTTTGAATTTTAACCGTGTATTTGTCACATTTACAGGAACAAGCCCAACTCATAGATACACTGAGGGATCGCCCCGGTAAGAAATATCGATTTTTTTCTTCTCAAATTATAGAGTAAAATATGATGAAACTGAACATTAGTTTGATTCATTGCAAAACGAAACATTACGCGAAATTGTGTATATGTATTGCTAATCTGTATAAGTCTTAAAAGTCTTCAAGACATTGCTTGGTAATTTTATTAATTCAGGTATTAATCTAACCCATAACATTGAAAAATTAACATAATGTTTTTTAAGGATATGATATGTGACTGTTGATAAATGTCTGTTTTAGGTGGAGCCTTTCCAATAGCAAAAAGGATGTTCACAATTATCTCAGGTCTTGATATGGGACCGGTTCGTTTGCCCTTGAAGGACATTTGCAAAGAACAGGAGGACTCTTTGAGGAAGGACATAGACGCATTAGGACTATGGAAGTAATCCTTGGGAATGGATTTCCGTGGCATTTCTATCTGCAGTAATCAGGTTTAAATGAATCATAGAACGTTAAGAAAGAAGAAATCTTGCAATCTGACATTTATTTATTTCTGGCGACTTCTTTCATTTGCTTTCAACGACGTTGGATGAACATGAAACAGCGTACAGTTTTTGTACTAGTGCTCTCCCTTGAAGTGGAGCATCAAACCACCGATTGTAGGATCTTTTGTTCAGTACTATGCATATGTTTGAGATATTGCCTCTTGTCATATTAGTTAATTTCTTCTTACGGTTTCAAGAAGGTCATTTGACATGAATACAAGTTAAATCTTATATGAATTGGAAATCCTGCCGCAAACATCTAACCCGTTTTCAAGAATGCTTGGATTATGAAGCCGTGATGCACTAGAGGTCCTATATTCAAATGACGTCAGTTTCTTAACCAGATTATTAAATGTTTCTGTTCATCATTTCATTGTATTTGAACAAAGAGAAAACCATGGGCAGATTTATATATATATATAAATCAATCAGTTAAATGATTTGCCTTTTAATCCTTTCATATTTTGAAATTGAAATATACTAAAATAATAACGATAACCATGTAAGCAAATAACATATATCAAACGGCTTCTTTAATTAATCAGGGCTGCTTAAAGATAATTCATTCGGCTGAAATGGTCAGGATGACACAAAAAACGAGTCAAATGGAAATGTATAAACAAAAATAAAAGAATATTTTCGCATAATGAATCAACCATTTTCAATGTAGAATTACCGCCGTCTAGTGGTAGTCAGCACTTAAGTTTTCCTCAGGCTGTTCATTTATGCTAATATCTTCCTTTTTTGTTTGAGTTACCACATTTCCTAGATTTGACTGAAATTTACATGGCGGGTGTCGCCCATGAAGAAGACGACGACACTTGCCCTTCCGGAACACCTGGTTATATTCTTTCTCCATTTTATTTTTTCCTTTAATTATATTTTGCCGCGTTTGAGTTTGAGTTACGGTTTTGTTTTCACTTCAGTAAATCATCGATGAATCAACCCTGAGTTCATATTTTGCCTTTAAGGGCGGTAACGATTCCTCGAATCGTATCGTATCGTGATACATTCTTGTATAACGTATAGAATTACTCTGTTTGCCAGTATCCCGATACACTAACATTACTGAAAATATCAATCACTTTTTTTTTTTTTTTTTATTAAATACCCAAAAAATGTAATCATTATTTTTTTTAAATACATGGTCCACCATTCATGCATATAAAAAGTACTGCATTGTTTGGTCCGTTTGGGGTTTAACGTACACGCAACCGCATAGGTCATATGAAGACGGGTGCCTAGGGAGACACCTCCTAAAAGAAAGAGTAGGGAAGACAGAACAGAAAACATAGGCCCCAAATGAAGGGCAGCAGATGAATTTTGATTTCTTCAGGAGACGTAAAAGCAAACTCTCCTATTCTACATAGGTTTCCGCATTAGTCGCCTCTTTCGACTTGCAGTATGATACAGCAAATCTATCCTTTCCCCGAAACTGCAGGGAGTGATACATATTTCTGTCTACTGTACAATTACTTAATCACTGTGGTCTATTACAGAGCGTTTAAACCATGAACAATAGTGGCTCATATCAAACCATGTCTAAACCATTATAAAAGACATTCGTATCTCCATAACATAATAGCTTTATGCACATCACGCGAGGTAATGTAATCCCATTTATGATTATTTCGTTCAAGTGTTCATATGATTCATTGGCGAGCATGATCGGTAAACTCATGGGGTTGTGCTCTTGATCCAATCCAAATGAAATATAATAATTTAATTAAAAATAAAAAAAATGCCCTTTATTGATTTGCTTAGTTAATGTCCGTTGCAAGAGACCGGCAATCCTAGTCGCATATCGATTTCCTAATTCTTAATACAAAAAATAATACACGCAACACGTGTACTCGTTTATATATGTATGAACATGCACATGTATTCCGACAGAGATACATGACTGGTTTCTCATTGTATGCAATTTAAATTGTAGGTCGTTGTGACATATGTCGGTATAAATGTATTATCTCTTAAAAGACTTGACTTGAGTGGACCCCAATCTGATAAGTCTATCTCGTTAAATACTGCATTAGATCAATTTAAGGTAGACATGATGCAAGGTACATCAAGATACTTTTCTCCCACACTTCACAGGTGTCTTCCCTTTTCTAAAGAAAAGATTAATAGAATCTCACTCTCGCCAAGTGTTTGGCAACTTAAGAATATTTCCCCCATGGTTGAGATTCCCTTTACTTGCCTTCAAGGGGTTTAATGATTTTTCTCTTACCCTGTTCACCCATTTTGTATCATATGCATACTGTAATGTTAACGTTACAGACTAAATTCAGACGTTGATGGATTGTTTACGTGACGCCATTGTATTGTTGATGTGACGTCAAACCATTGTTATGAATAGGGGACCCCCCCCCCCCCCTCCCTCCAGGGTAACAGAAAAACCTGTCTTTGTCTACCAAGAGAACGACAGTTCAAACGTGCTATTATTCTTAAAATGTCACCATCGCGTCATCACTTTATGTAGCGTTACCATGGTCATATCATCATTTTTGTAACACATTTCTTGCATCAATTTTGGCTTACTTTATCTATTACTTAATTTCAAAAGTGCAAACACATCAGTTTGTGTGTGAAACGTTCATCCTTAACCCTTTCGCCTCTGTAGATTATAATGGAACCATCCATATCAATGCATGGTAGAGTCTAATTAAGTTACATAGCGGTGAAAGGGTTAAACAAAATCGATATAGTGTTAAGTAATTGGAGCAAGATGTGTCTGTCTACCTCTTGTATATTGCTCATGAACTCAGTTAAAAAAAATCGGAAATATTGTAATGAAAAATAAATCCTTGAAAATAATACGGTGTGAAACTATCGATATCGTATCACATTTTTAAATAAAGAAAAGTTTTTTTCAAATGAATATTTTAATGAATAAATGACTAAAATTTATCAAAAAATGTAAAAAAAAATCTTGAAATGAAAATATTCTTTTTCAAATGCTGTCATTTATTTTCATAAAATGAAATATATGATGAGGTGTTCCATTTCCAAATTTCCAAAGCTAAATGCATCTAGTGATTCATTATGGTAAAACATAGGTGTTCCAGAAATAGAATAGGAAATAGTGATATTTTTCTTTAATCAGTGTTCCATTTTTGGTGCCCTCGCGATTACTGATACATGTATAAACAACGGAAGCAATGTCTACTATCGAACACAATTTATTTTACATTATACAAACGAAATATAAAATGGTTGAAAAAGAACTTTGAGGTCCAAATATTCATTTGCACTTGTGGAAATAATGAAAAAGACCACACAGAATTGTCCCCAACGAATCGTCATATGCACGTGTATTGTTCCTGCACTTTATCCACTAACCCACAAAGGTAAAAAGCACTTATTTACATAATCAATATATTATCTCTTTTCTACAGCGTAAATTATTGAGCCTACGCGCACAACTTAAAGTAACAGAAGACACGTCACTAACATTAATAAAGGCTACTTGTTTAAAAATTAGCGTACCTGATTCATAGTTTACGACATTTTCCTGTGTGTGAAAAATGATCACTTTCAATGGGTGAGAACGTGCGAAACCATTCATTCATTGATTCTGTTCCCATTTCGCCCTACGGTTCGTAAGAAATGGTGTCAAAATGGCACAAAGGTGTTTGGTACTCATGCAACCAAGTATAAAAGAGACAGATGAAATGCTTTCTCGTTTGCATAGTTTTAGAAAGGCCGATCTCTTGTAATGTCTTAATGATTGGGAGTGATTTCAATTGTCTTACGAGCTTTTGATGATACAAGTGATGGAAGACATTGAAACAGCTGGTCACGTGTCTTTGGAACTGAATACTTCCGTTTCCTGTTGCGTAGTGGTAGCGTCGATAGATGTAGTCGCGGTAGCAGCAGCAGCCTGAAAGCACTCCTCGTAGGAGGGCGGCAACTCCTGTTGTTCGTCAGGGGACTGTGTTGACTCGTCACGTGTCGTTGTTGATTCGCTTATGCAAGCGGGATCGCCACTGGTCTCAATGACAGCGTCATATGACGGAGGATCGTCATTGTATATTGACAGTCTGGAAGGATGATATAGATAACATAAATAGTATATTAAAAAGTGTTATCCTTAAGGGTATATATGTCACCTTATTGTTAACTTTCCCTCCTTTCGTAAAGGTTTCCACACTTAGCATGATTTATTAGTGGCAATTTGGCGCTGGGTAATCAACTGAATGGTATTTACCAAAACATTTATGTTTTTCGGCAATCAGGTTTAAATATGGTATGAATGTCAATGATGAATGTTTAAAGATCTACAAGCCCATTATTTGTCGGCGTGCCAATCATTGTGCAGGAAAAACATCAATGCATATATTGATAAATTAGTTACAGGCGAACAAGAGCAAAGTCTAAAAAAAAAAATCAAATAATTTACTTCGTGATCATATGATATTTCAAAGGTAATCACATCATTTTAACTACAATACTTCCCACAGACGCTTGAATTTGTCGACACGGTGTTCACTTGTATCAGATTAAAGTGTTAGGTTATCATTTGAATTGCCAATGCTACAGTTATTACTGTGTTCAAACAAATCGCACGTAGTCAATCAATTTATGATAATTATCGATTGCTGACGGACAAACTTACAACACAGGATTTCCAAAAAATGCAGGTTGTTGGTTTGTTTTGGACAAGGTTTATGGTCGCCATCATGATCTAATGTGTGTGATATGAAAGCCGATGCTTTTATTATACCAATTAGAGTGCTTTGGGGTTTTATTGTCACTGCACGGGTTCTTGGTGTGAGGACGTGACGTCATTTGAATTTGAAGCTCGATGTACATTGTGGGTGTCGTCGATTTACCGGAGAACGCTTACCCTTCCTCCTTGAACTTTTTCCACTGTCTCTAGATACATTTTTCCATAGTTCATATTTTGACCTGGTTCTAACGATTTGACTTCGAATTATGGTTCTATAGACACCCTGGTATTCTCTTGTTGTTTGTTATTTCCTAGCATAGAATGCTGTTTTATTGTTTTCCATAAAGATATATACAAATGTACTGTTAATGTAACCGTAACGATTATAAATGTTATGATTAAGTTAAACAGAGAACCCCAGTGTAGCAATACATATCGTGCGGAATCTACACCACACATATAAGAGCTCCATTTCCATTTGTCTGGTGTGTGTTCAAGCAAAACACATTGATCTGGTCGCACTAATTGCCAGCGTCGCGCGTGTGTTACTACAGCAACGCACGTGTGTTATAACAACCTCCATCTTATCGGATTCATTTCCTGGCCAGCTAACCATTGCCAACGGGTTGATGTATCGGATACAATTTATGTACATTGATGCGCCCAATGCATTTTGTTCGATGAACATGTTGTAGTTTTTTCTCATTATTTTATCGATCAGCAAATAATAAATTTTACCTGGGATATTCATGTGTCTCCCCAATACTGACAACGCTGCACATCGTCATGGAATTGCTACTGTACTGCAATTGAGAAAAATATTCTCGTATAGAATTAGGTCATACAAGCTTGGTACTAGGCTAAGCAAGTGCTACAGGGAATGTTCCTAGGGCGTGGTTAGATATTTCTATAATGGCAATATTCTAGCTACAGCCACACGTTCTTGATCCTCTTTCTGACATTCTTATATCGAATTTTATCAATTATTCCTGGCTTAAAACGTCTTTGAAAGTACCAGGCAATGTTTTTGTTCCTGGTGTTAGTATAAAACACACTTAGTTTTGAGACGTTGTGTTAATCCACGATCAAACGATCATTTAACACACAAGATTATAACTTGCACGAAACAATTAATACAAATATGATATGATAAAAAATAATGAAGCATCCGTTTGAAATGTAACATCTTAGTGTACCGTATGATCATTTCCTTCATTTAAGACTCTTGATTGGTTATAAATGTCAAAACAATAAAAAAGAAATTGATTAATATGTTTAAGGTGTTCAGAAACATATGTTAAATACAGCGAAAGGGGAAAGGTTTAAGTTGGCCTCGACAGTTTATTCTGACTTAAACTAGTATTTCATGTAAGCTGTGCAAGAATAAATTCCAGCTACAAGCTTCCTGCCAATAAACGTAAAAGTGAACACGCTTCCTACTTCTTTTATAGGATTTTCTATATGATCTAGGTGAGTTTTAAACCCTGTTTAAACAAAAGTAATAGTATAGAATTATAATTATTTAGTCTACAAAATATGTTATGCTCCTTCTCCAATAGTGTTAAATAAAATGTCGATTCTTTTAAAAACAAATCCAAGCTTGCCATCATGGAAAACAGCCCTAGCAGTCGATGAATCTATGATGTCATATGTATGATGCCATCATCGATAAATTGTGTAAATGCAATTTACAAATTGTTTTTATTAAATACATGCTTATTTCCTTAGTTGTTGGCATTTTCATTTGAAAATCAAATACCTCCATTATTGGCCTGGTGGCAATTTCTCCTGTGTAACTTCGTATAACGAGTCGTTGTGGGTTGGTAGAATCTCCGGGCCGGATATGGTTTAAGGCACCTCTTGCTAAGACAAGTACTCCAACCACGATAAGAATGGGACCAGCGTACCTCTCACTTGTTTCACTGTCGTGGTGTTCCAAATTCTGGAATGTCAGTGACGTAATGATGACGCCAATAACAAGGAGAATCAGACCGGATATGATGTAACACAGAGCATTACCAATCAGAAACAAGCAAGGGTTTCCATAGTGAAGATTTCGATGAGCATCACGTGGGCGCCTCCATGTGATAACAGTTTGCATCATAGACTGGAACAGCTAAAATAAAAACCAAAAAGCGTATTCAAGTATCAAACAACCTTCATGTTTCAACCAAAATGATTTTTTTCAAGAGGCTAACAGAGCTTGTATCAAAAACAGTTCTCATTTTTTGTGTGTGCTATATTTATTGACAAGAATATCATGTACCAAAATAAGTAAAAAATATGTCAAAACATTCCCTCAGATGAAATACAAAAATGGCTGTATCACTTAATTCAGAATCACAAAAACTGTAATTAAGTACAAAAATACAGAATTTGTCTGGTGTATCCAACTGCATAATCATATGAGATGACTTTATTATGGCCTTCTAGCTTTCAACTATTCTCTCTTACTGTTTCCATCAGAGAAACAAAAGGCGATGTCTTGTCCATATTGCAAAACTTATCTCAATCTCACCATCTCCCTCCTGTCTTACTCTTGGTCAACCTTTTACCATATCAGTATGACTTAGTGGAGTGACAGGTTGCATTGTCAAGATTGTGACATTGCAATAAATTGTCACTTCAAGGATCCTTGTAGAGAATCCCACTGTTTATTTATTCATACTGTTACCTCCCCTTAATTTTGTTTTTGGACTAGGCCAGGGAACTATAGACGAAAACATTAGAATAACCGTTTTCTGATCGGAGGTCCAGGGTTCGAATGTCGCTCTGGTTCCTTTACATTGGTCATCCTAGTTTTTTCTTTTGATTTTTGTTATTTCATTTTTATTGTTTTTAACGTAAAACTTCTGTAAGATATGAATTAATATTCCGAAAACATGCCTGTGTCATGGAGGTATAGACATTTTCCAATTCATAGTTAAAGTTTTTGGCAGTGGTACAGGGATCCATACCAAAGCAGTGATATGGCCCAACATCAGTGAGTGACTCAAGCATATTTGGGCACCGTAGTTATATGACCTTAGCTGTTGCAAATATATATGTTAAATCCCCAAAAGGAAACAGTAACACATGTTAAACACAACAATAAATGAATAGCCATATTGAATTGCAAATTAAATCAATGGTCACGTAACATTGCATTTACAATATACAAATGACATACGTTATTTCAATAAATGTATTGCGTGGAGTGAATACCATCTATGAAAGCCATTTTATGACTCATGTTGCAGTACCGATGTCTCATTATTATGCAAAGATGATTTGTTCTTCAAATCATATAGAATGATCACCTTCAGCTAGCTTTTACTACAAGCATAGTCAATATAAGTATCTACAAAGAGTTTGATAGGTAAAGTGTGTTTTATATACTTCTGAAATAATACGTATACTTAGTATTCATTATTATACAGCATCTGCCATTTAGCCAAGTGGTTAAGGCGTCTGACAATCTGCTACCACTAGCCCTCCACCACTGGGTCGCGGGTTGGAGGCCTACGTGGGGCAGTTGCCAGAGGTCGGTGGTTTTTCTCCGGGTAATCCGGCTTTCCTCCACCACCAAAACCTGGCATGTCCTTAAATGTCCATAGCTGTTAATAGGACGTAAAGCACAAACAAGCAAAACGCAACACTGATCAAGAAGAAATTAAATGATGTAAAATGTGAAAATTACATAAGTGGACAGCACATTCGTAATAGGTATATAAAATTACACATATTTGGTTATTGAACCTGTTACACATATTTGGTTATTGAACCTGTTACACTGTCGTGGGGTCAACGATGGTTGCATTTGTGCTAGTCAAACAGGTGGTTTCAAACACGAATACATCATCATCCAGTTAATCAGTTTATGATATAGTTTCCTTGTAGGGGGTATGTTGTGTGTTGCATTGGTTGCATTGAAACAGATAGGTTCGAACACAAAATATTCCGATAAGCAGGGTTGATTAGAACGTTTCATTGTAGAGAATGTGATGTAATGTAATGAATTTCATCAAACTAATGCTTTCAAATAGCACTTCTTCACTGTCACTGTGTTGTGCTGGCGCTGTATTTGAATAACAAATGCCTAAGTCGATTACCACATTGCAATAAATGACGGCCTTGACCATTGTAACAGTACCTATGTACAATATTGTAGGCGTTTTATATATCCTTGGTATCTAATATAACAACGAAATGCTTTTGAATACAAGGGGAATCGAAACCAGGCCTCCTTGGTGAAACGCAAGTGCGCTTTCCACTGCGCCGCTCGACCACCTCTGATATATATTATAATATACAAAAATGACTGCTGCATAACCCATAGGTAACCAGTGTGTGAAAACATTCAGCAAGTGATATTTGTACGCTTCATTGCAATATCGTTTTTTTGATATATTGAGCTTTATATAAAATGTAACATGTAAAGGAATAAAATATTCAAAAAATGTTTAGTAACTAAATGGAAATTCAAGAAAATACAAACCAAAACGTAGCTTAATCAGTCAAAAATCGAAAATTGAAAGAAACAAAACGACACATGAAGCTACAAAGCATAGTCCGACTAGAACACGGTTATGGGTTATGCTTACTTTTAAGCATTGATCGTTAGTTGTGTGCCAGCTTATTCCATCAGCCGTATTTATAGACGGAAACAAATTTGGTTTGTGTGAGCTTCTAACCCAAATATGTGGCACCACTTACCTGTTAATAAGCTAATCGGCATACTCTCTGCTGGAGTTGGGAATCACGGGTGGCTGTTCTGGACGAGGGATAAGCACACACGATCGATAGAAGGCAACGGAAGAAGCCTTGTCAAAGTCTGTTATACACAACCCACGATCGATAGCACTACTGCTGCACTGCTGTATTGAAGCACAGTCGTGCACATTCTGTGCTACTTTAAAAACACGTACATGTGACACTATGGCGGGTCTTTGTCGTCTGTACTTCCATTACTCGTTGTGTTGTGTCGTAATAACTAGTAAGATCGTTTGGCTGCCTTTGTGTAAAAAAGAAATTTGAATGTATTCAACACATACACAGATGCTGCTGCCATTTTTGGCCTCTCTCGCCTCTCTGACACGACTGCTAGATAGCAATCCCGCGTCCGCCGCGAAAGATCACGTATCGATCAGCGATTCCTTGTTGTTGTAGCTTTCTGTATAAATAGCGTGCTACGTAACATAAGAAGCAACACGTGAGTAACTGGTACACATTATCCAGATACTGCCGCTTTTACAATTGTTTGAGAAGTTTTTATTTTCATGGTTGAATAGCAATAGTGATTGCTTGTAATATTGTAGTTGCATCACAAAAGATGGCAATCAGACGTTTTCTGATACAATTGTTTTCAATGTCACAATTCGACTACATATTTGTATATATAACATGAAGTTTATCCTAATATACTGTGAATTGGAGGATATATATATTGTAATGTCATGTAGCAATGGTGCAACAAACTGCACCTGTATTTAAAGCATGGATAACTTAACACAACAATACGTAAATTGTTTATAACATCAAACATTTATATACAACAATCAAATTCACCAGAAAAAAAACATTTAAACGTTAAGGCAATAATTTATTATTTATATCTATATATATATATATTAAAGAGAAAGTATTTTTGTAAAAAAAAAAAAAAAAATGAAAAATGAAAAACACAGTGGCGTCTCTGTCTAGTTTTTGGTGGAATAGAGATATCATAGTTACAGAACAAGAATAATTACGTCATTTATAAATATAGATTTGTCATAGTGCTGATTTTCACTTTTGATTTTTGTAATACTTTAACTAGACGTTCGCTATGTCTTAACTAACATTATCCTTCATCATATTACGTATAAGACCTATTAAACAATATAAAAGGGGCGACCAATTATAGCTGTCGGTACTAAATATCCAAGCACACGATCACCAACAGCAGGCATAAACCTAGTGATAACAAAGATATGGTATAACATTAAAAATGTTCGCTTTTATCGAGAAACAGACAGGAGAATACCACAGTGTAAGCAAAACTGTGATTTCAAGTAAAAATCGATTAAATAAGGAGAGAGGAAAAATGACAAAGCAACGATTCACACGTCGACAATTAAAACAATACAAGTAGAATCCGACCAGGTGGTTCGGAAGGGTAAGCGTCTTCTGCGTTATCAACAATACATGATGTGAAGCAAATCAAATATTTCACATCCTCGTGGTGACAACTGGGGGTATTGACAACGAAACTTCGTGACACATATACTGTATAGGCATTAAATATTCACGGTTTCCGAGATGAAGTACAACCATGAAAAATAATTTGCAGAAGCACGTCAAGATGTATACATGTACTTGTAATTAGTGGCTTTATCAATGAACGAATGCATGGTAAATGATGAAGATGTTATAGAATTAAAAAAAAAATAACGTTTGCATTTAAATGAATACATAACTTAATAGGTTTGCCTTCAGCGTCACTGTAGGGATATTTTAATCATGTGCTTTTCATTCAATTGAGTATTTCTTGTGTTTGAAAGCATGCTATTTTACTATGAACATCAAGAATGATTGTCGAACCTATCAGAGCAAGTTAAATGTTTCACATGTTCGATTCACAAAGACGCGCCCTGAAACTGAAACCTTTACATGATAAAACGACCAGCCTTTTTGCTCACATAGGCCTCGCCATAGATGTATGGAGGATGGAACAAAATTGCACCAGACCAAATACAGACGCATTATGTAAATCGGGAAGGCTCAATAAACATCAACGTTTAAGCAAAGCATACTACAATACTTGTGTCATGTTTCCGACATTTAGTGATCGTATCGCTGTACCCACATATGACTAATACAGACAAAAGAAAACCCATGTGTGTTAAAAAACCTATTCGTCTTAATTGAAAATTGAAAATAAAAAAACAAATAAAAAACAAACACGACAAAGTGGATTTGTTCTAGTCATGTCTCTGATTGCTTTGATTGTATTCAACGCAAAAATGGTGCATTTTACTAACATAACGATCAATCTGATAAAACTGGTAGAAAACAGCTCCATTTTAGAACAAAACAAATTGTAAGTTAGAAACAGCGAACTACAGATTGACACGTACTTTTGTTCATATTGATGTAAGAGAGAAGAGAGGGGAAACATTATGTTGACCTAGATATTTCTTTTTGGTGCTTAATGTACAGTTATCTTTATATGAAAAACGAGTCTGAAACAAAACGGATGGACGTTAATTACTTTGAAACATTTGGAAGTATCTAATTTATCTTTTATCGTTATTTTCAATCTGGTATCGTGTTTTTAAATGGATGACTTTACTACCGTATCAATTACACAATTCATTTGCAAATATGAAGATATATTGATTTCGAATTTATCAACTGATACTGCCAGATTTGATCTGTGTGTATTTTCTCCCAGTGTGAATCAACTGAAAATAATAAAACATCACTTTTTTATTCGAATAATTGATTTTGTTTTCACACAATATTAATAACGGTTGAATTGTCGATATGATGACATGCATAATACTGTACAGCCCAGAAATGATAATGGTGTATCATAGGTCGGGGACTGGGACCGGATCAATCGGTAAACATATCTACGACTTGGCAGGGTTTGTCCTTCAGGGAACGCTTTTAGAATCGTTTCGGACTCACCTATCTGCCCCAATTCGAAGAGATTGGATAACAATCCCAAAGTGGCATTTTCACTTACATTGCAGTACATCACGAACGGCACTATGAGTCATAGAATGGTTGTCTGGAACCTATAGGGCAAAATGGTAGCATGGCTTGTGACGGTAGATCGTATCTTCATATAATGTGATTAAAACCTATTATACTGGGAATTTTAATTGAAACATTAATTTATACATTGTTGTGAAAAGTACTTAATTTTGTAGATTTAGTAATTCTATATTAACTTAACATTTACATCAACTGCTTCAGTAATCAAATTAAGACAACCAACTAGTCATTGACCCCCTTCTGATGTGTGTTTCTAGAACTAACCCTTCACTAAACGATTCGATCGGAAAAATCTAACAATAGCAAAATAGACATTGATCGATTTTATGAGAAGATGGTTAACTAATTCTTTTAGTGAATTTTCAAGTGTATAATAAACATATACGGTTTTTTCTCTTTTTTTCTTTTCTTTATTTGTTTGTATTTCAGAGGTTTCAACCTTGGCAAGTTGTTCACGGTTGCATGATGTTTTGTTTAAAACGGTCTGAGAATAATCCCATGTGATTATAATTTGATGCGATTCAATCAGAGGAACACGTGCTCTTAATTTGTATCATGCGGATGTATTTTTGATGATTTAGAATATAATTTGTAACAGTCACGAACAAAGTAATTGAACCAATCATGGACCATTCAGTCGTATGATAGACCTTTGCAATGAACGAACATAAACTCTTATCGTGAAATATTAGATGACACATATCTTTCCTACATTGATTGGGGCATTATCACGTGGAGGTCGGTGATATGTGATATTGACTTGGTGTACCTATTTTTAGAAATAGCACATCAATATTCATTTGATGACGTTAATTCAATTGTAACATCACAATGCTCTCTGACAAATGCAACACTTTCTTCTGTACATTTTTCATATGTTTAATGATTAAACATTATTTGGCATCTAATGTTATAATTAAGGACTTTTATTGTGGTGAATATCTGATTATATGAACCTGAGAAAGTGATAGTTGAGGCTTTGTCTAGGTTTGTCTGGAATGTCACAAAATTGAATGAATTCGGGTGTTTCCGAAGCTCCATTTCAGGGGGGTATCGGTCACATTCAGGAACAGAAACAGTGTGCGTATAAACCAAATAATGACTAAGGAGGTCTTCAGAAATGCAAAAGGATTTATTTTTTGTCATCAGTAAGACGAGAAAGAAAGTGAGGAATACAGATCCTATTTACTGCAATAGATCGATAAACAACCAGGCCCCGTGCGAGCCTTCGCCTGACAATTAAATACACGTACTGCCTTATAAATGAACGTACTTTGGCATGTTCCCCGCCTAGATCGATACAAAATGAAAACTTCCAGACGGTGTACAGCATTTTTCTAAAGAAAATATTCAATTCATGAAAATATCAAAACGCACATCTGAATATTGATTCTGGGAAGGAATTGTATTTATTTTTGCGAAACACGCCATTTTTACATTTAAGCTGAATACAGTTTCTTGGACTTTAAGCAAAGGACGGATGCACAAGGCCTGGCGAAAATGGATAGTATCATGCTAGACCTAAAACACATGAAATTTAAGCAAAATACAGCGAAGTCCATATTTTTAGTTAACCAATTTAAAATTTCAACTCAGAACGTTGAAGTATAAATATGTATAATTTCTTTTAAAAAGTGCAATCACCATCAACTCAGCGAACGCAAAGTCGAATTTGAAGGTCGACCAAACAATATTCATGGTGAAAACTTACCCATTTGTTTCTACTGTACTCAATCAGAAAGCAAAGCTTGACGTCATGGCGTCAGTGTCAAATTTACAGACCACAGACCCACGGCTCAGCAGAAAGGGTATAGGATGAGGATTAAGTGGGTTTGGATTGTTTCACATCATAACATTATGACAATTGGCGTCAAAAGTGTCACCATTAAATGTTACAACACCAGCGCGAAAAAAGGTATAAGATTGCAAGCAATGCCATGTTTGTCTTTTCGTTCGACGTACCTTAAGTTATGCACACTATTAACGGATCTAGAGAGGGTAGTCCATTACTCATTAAACCTGCACTGTTAATCTTGTTTTCTTTGAAATACATGACTGTATGTTCCCAATAAATCCCATGTAGAATACCCGACCAAATTTGGTGCCCTTCAGATTGGTCTCTGTATCCACCAACGGACACTGATGGAAACCAACGACATCAGTCAGACATAAACGTGGATTGGCTTTCAAGTCAACTCTACTATTGTAGTACAAGATGTCAAGGGAAGCATTATAGGTGTAATCTTGTCAGAAAAAGGACGAAGGTACAAGGGGCGTCAAATTACCTCGGCAGCAAATGATGGTCATGTTTCACATTGGCCCACAATGAACCAACACTTAGTCTTACACCTCTCAAACTGTCCAATACGTTCACATTATCACCTTTTATCATATTAACGATAATGAACTGCACTTAATGTCGAGGATAGTCGATGTGAATGTTTGATCTTTTACCCTCGTCTACACTGTAAGAATCAGATGCGAAGATGACAGCCAGTGAAAGACAAAGAGAACATAGAACCCACACAAACAAATATTCCTATTCGTGTACTAGTGTTTCTATTTATGGTTTAGTTCATTTTATGCAGGAAACGCTTATTGACGCCTTTGACTCCAATTTGTGTTTTGTGGTTCTTTCTAGCTTCATCAATTATTGAGGTTTGATGAGGTGAAGGATACGGGTTAAATTGGCCTGAAAAAGGGATGTTGACCAAAATAAACTTGAGTTCAAATCCCTTTTTTCAGGTCCATATTACAACGTATTCATCGAAAAAAATATTGTTTTATTGGATATAATGAAATAAGTTTTAGCAAACAAGATGGAGCACAAGTACATTGTTGAGAGAAAATTACTGCATTAGCCAGGGAGAACTTTTGCATTATTATAGAATCAAAGTGCCGTTACAGAGAGAATAATTACCTGCTGTTTCTAAAAACAGTAACACCGAGTCTATATAAAAAAAATCATCGACTTCATTATGATCCGACCGATGGGGATGTAAGTGTAATATAATATTTCATTACTTTTTTGTGTAAGTTAAGGATAAATTAACCTGAATATGAACTGCTTACTTTCATGATATTCGGAGCAAGTTTCGAATGGCACGACTTCCGCGATAGATGTCGACTGCTGACGGAAAAACTAACAACACAGAGTTTCCATAGATGAAACTTGATGAAAACTATGCACACGTTGTATGGACGTCATCAGGGTCTCGCAGGAAAATATGTAATTTGTGTTTGTGATATTATGAAGGACGATATTTTTTATTATGCTCACTAGAGTGCCTTGCGGTTTTGTTGTCACTACTTGAGTTCTCGAAGCGAGGATGTGACATTATTTGGATTAAACTTAGATTTAAACTACGCTTGTCGTCGATGAAGCAGAATACGCTTATCCTTCCGGAACACATGGTCTTATTGTCCTTGTACTTTTTCATGGGTCTCCTCGTAAATCTTTCCTTTGTTCATTTTTTTGTTCTATTGATTGAGAGTTCGAATTGTGAAATAAAATCTACATGCATAGTTGGCGAAATAAAGAACAAACAAAAAGTGTTTTAAAATTTCACTTAGTTTCTGAAATTGTTTCCGTTATCAATCACTCAGAATAGTTCGTTGATTAATACATAGTTTTAGACTTTGTGTGATTCGTCTTCGTAAAATCTGTCATATGAAAAAAAACTGAATCCACAAACAATTAGGCTAAACAAAAACCTCATGGAAGTTTTATCTCAATATATTTACCATCGTATGGCTTTCTACTATATAACCTTACCATAGTCAGGTGCTATTTATCTATGCTATGAATGACATGAGCCAATGGTTGGCGTTATATTCATTATGTAGCCATACATGTTACGTTGAATACCACTGGCCTCCATAGACAGATGGCTGTTTTAATCATTGAATAACAATAGACATGATTAAAACCAAATACCGACTCCACAATACAAGTACTGAGCTGCTTACGGCTGACATTCATAAACAATTATGAATGCCAGATAGAGAAAAAAAATCCAACATGAAGTGCATGCGAGCTTTATTGAATTAGTCTTAGTTGGCATTCATAGTGTCTATGAATGCCAATTGGAAGCAGTTCAATGCTAAATAATTCCTTATTCTGTGGTAAAACTGAGGAAACATCATACAAACAACTTAAAAAATGATATGATTAATATATATATATAATTTTATTTGGTTTCTACAGCCTCATGACATCAAGTTCCGACTTGTCTATGGTTTAAGTTGGAACCTTCATAGAGAGACGTAGGTTTACCGCATCATCTGTAGAAAACGGGGAGAAAAATTGCAATCAAATACATCAAAGTGTTTGCAGTAACCTCCCCTTAATTTTGTTTTCGATTCAACTGTAGGAAAGTTAGTCCATCATACTTCCAACGACTAACATAATTTTAGAGCGATAATACAAGGCACTGAAGTCTGGGGTTCAAATCCACAGTCTAGCAACGCTGAATTGTTCAACTCTGAACTTTGCTGTTGATTATGTTTTGTTCATTGTATCTTTATTTGCTTTAAAAAAAAAAAAAAAAAAAAAAAAAAACATTTGCAGAGATGATTGATTCATCAAGGCTGTATAGCTATGCCGGAATATAAAAACACAGTGCTTAATGCGAAGTTACAGTTTATAGTGGTACGGTGTTCCTTAAAGTGAAGTGACAATATTAGACTTACATTACAGCTGAGTATTACGATGCCTTGTTAGCGTCAATCGTCTTCACAGCCTCTTTGTACAATGCCAAATCAGGACCATCAGCTGGAAAATGAATAAAGAAAAAAAGGGAGATGATTACACAAAATGGCGAATTTCCATACAAAAACAGTTCAAATAAAAAACCAATTTAAATTATCAATGAAGTCAATAGTATAAATGCCTTTAGCAAATATCAACACCCGATGCTTCACAGCCCATGTAGCTGTCGTATTGGCTTTTACATACTATCAGTTAATCAACTTACTTGGTTGGAAATTGGTAATGGTGGACGACCACACCTTCTTTGCACCAATGTACAAGTCACACGCTGCATACTTCGGTGTTTTCTGGGTGGTGACCTTGTGACCTGCCGCAGTTATTGCAGCTGCATTGAAAAAATAAGATGAATTGTATATAAGTTTATCGTACATTGTGTCTCTTACTTGTAGTACCGTAAGTACTAAAAATATTGCTGTACATTCAGAGGATGTACTGTTCTACCTTACCAAATGCAATTTTCAAAAGTTAAGGAGTATAATTTCAAAAAATATTGTTGGATCCAAAAACGATCTGAAGTGCAAAAATTCAGAGTGTTGATTTTAACGAAATGTTAACTGCTTAATGAAATTCGCATTAGGACTGTTTTCGCACCAGATTTAACAAATAATTCACGTAAGAACATATAATGTGCTGGAAAATGGACGGGAGACAACTCTGGTGGACTTACCAATCAATCCCTTGGCCCTCTTAGCATCGTGGTATTCGGTTTTTCATTTCTTGTAGGGTCCATACTTTAGGACAACTTCCACCATCTATGTCAGAAAACATTGTATATTACACTTCAAAAATCGGAAGAACTATCATAATATCAATTAAAAAACATTGTCACGTCGGTACTGTGATTAGTATCCGTTGTTGTCCAAATATGCACAGAGGTCTGTTATTAAACGAGTCCTGCAATCAGTTTTGAAACAATTGTTTAGTTGATATGCGTATGTACAACGTACATGTTACTGGTGTATGTGATTGTTTCTGTCTAACCATGTAAAACAAGTTCTTTAATTTATTTCTTTTATTTTCCAACATCATAAATATATATAAAAAAAAATCAAATGATAGGTAAAAGTAAAGTAGATTCAAATATCAAATTATCATGTACTTGGTTATATTAATATAAATGATGAACAAAACATATTTCTTATATTATGCTGCAACCGACTGATACTTTATATTCGAAGTCTGTTTCATGTCAAAATCAATTATTCAATCTTGCAAGCTTCGATACTTTGACAACAATATTATACTTCCGACATGTCATAATGACCTGTGCAACTACACAGTTGATTAAGTTTATACATGTATTACAAATCAGGTACTCAATGTCCATTACGTCACAGTGTGGTGGTGACGTAGTACGTTGAAAACACAAGCAAACGCATGATTGAAACACAGTATGTGTATATACTTGATACAGTGTTGTAGACCACACTGGAATAAATGAGTGTTTTTCTAAACCATTAAAAATCAGGTTAGTTGTTTGGCAGATGAATACCGATTTCCAGTATGACAACGTGTAGTTTATAAGACAGAATGAACAACTGGTTGAGTATTTTAGAAAAACACATAAACTATTGTCGAATGTTTTTCTTACTTTATTGCTCATCAGTTTAAATCCTATATCTGCATATGGGTCAATGAACCTTATCATTAACATGGTTAACACACACGCACACATATATATACTTTCATGCATACCGTTAGTATTGTCGTGAATAGAGGTATAATGATCATATACATGGATATACTAACCTTGTCGAAGTTTTAATATAAACCCTTTCAGCGCTGAAAGCCTTTAACGGAATATTTTGTCGAGTCGTTTCTCCAGTTGTTCAGTACTGAATGAACCGGTCGAGAAATTTAACCCGACCAATATTGATTTTTTTTTAAGTAATGCTCCTGTCGCACACTTGTACGGACGGGTGTGTATTATGGTATCTAGGAGACACGGTTAGCACTACCATTGTAAGTAGACCACTTACGTATTATTTCAACACACTATTTAAATCATCTCTCCCAGGTTGTATTTGTTCTCAGAGGAACTTTAAATTCGCTATTCCGCTAACAAGTGTCGCTTATTAAATGTCTTATCTTTGCTCTGGCAAAACTAACACCAATGATCAATCAAATAAAGCCATCAATGTACTCAAACCTATTAACTATATAAAATAAAAACTGTGCCTTTTATTTTTATTTTTTTGAGTGTATGTCTATATCACCAAGGAATGTAACAATAAGCGTGACCGTTTTCCAGCTTACGTTTTCTAACTTACCTTTTGTCAATCTTTTATTTTGGCAAAAGTGTTGATCCATTACATTTAATTGCAGTCTGATTGTTTCAGAATAAACGTCCTCGAAATGGCTACGGTCATATAAAACTTTTGTTTTCAAATGACAGGACTAAAACTATGACCTTGTTAAATACTATTTCATTGTCATAACAAGGTAGCGTGATGCCATACTCAGTCAAATCAACGGGATAACTCGAGGTATCTAGATAAACAACGTCAAACAGAAAATGCATTATACCACTCTCTCAAGTACTAGACCATAGTTCAGAGAAAAACGATGATGCCAGTTTGAAGATTAGATACCATTGCTAATTTTGCAGTACTGCAACTTAACTTTAATAAACTTTGTTGTAACTTTGTAATATGTTCTAATACATGTTTCAAATGCACACAATGTAATGTTGTTAAAAGATATTTGCCGATATATCCAATGGGTATGTTGTCCATGGGAGTGTCGTTATCCTAAGAATGCGACAGGTTGATTTACATGTTCAGAGTTAAATAATGCATTAGAATTTTAAAAAATATGAGTTCGAATTATGTTTTGTTGTTGACATTCAATAAAAAAAATCGTGAAAGTAATGTTTACCTTTATTTTTTTCCTTTTTTGAAAAAACAAGAGTAGGTGATAATACAGTAACATGTAAAAAGAAAAATAATAAATATTAGATATTTTCGAATAGTTTTGAAAACATAAAACCAGTGAATGAGCTGTATAGCATTGTTACTAAGTATCCCTGTCCTCCTGCAAGCAAACCCCTTGAGAATTCCACTGAAGTTTTTTCAGACATTCAGTAACCTCCCCGTTATGTTGTCGTTGATGTAACTGTATCAGATCACTTAAGTGGTCAGATTGACGATGATGTCACAGCAGGTCAAAAGCTCAAATCCCTGTATGGCCCAATTATATTTTGACTCTCACTATTGCTGCCTTTATTCATCAAGGTTTCTCCAGATATGAGTTTCTCTCAAGTTTTGACTGGTTAACTGACAATGCCTATGCATGCCAACTGAAAGCAGATCAATGTTAAAGAAACAATTTAACTCGACGTGTCCCCTAGGCAACACACAAACAACCAAATATGATATAATTAAATGCATATTTTTAATTTTGGTTTTACAGTCTCATGACATCAAGTTCCGGCCTGTCCATGGTTTAAGAAGAAACCTTCATAGAGAGACGTAGGTATACCGCATCATCTGTTATAACAAGAGAGGAAATTGGCAATTAAATTATCAATTTGTTTGATATTCTTCGACGACGAAAGGGAGCTTGAGTTAAACTTGGCGTCATGATTCGTATTGTTTCATCAAGACCAGGTTTTAAAACGTTTACAGCTTGCATTCACGATCAATTGATATCCATTTAAAATGAATCAAATTTTACATTTTTAGAGACAGAAACAATCACACGAAACGAGGTTCAGAATAGGTAAGCTAAACGAATCTGTGGCCATCTGCGCCGTAAGAAGGATATCAAATTTAACAGAACATAGAATGTCAATCTGAAGTTAGTATTTGCTTATGCTCAGTATATTTCCCAGCCCATGCAACATAATACCAAATTACAATATCTAAGTCTGTCAAGAATATTCATCATCATCATCAGACTGCGATTCTTTGAACGAGTTATGAAGGAAGCGCTTTTGTTGTTTGCCTCATATAATTATCAATTACATGTACCTCCAAACATCTTTCGCCATCCTACTTATTTTATTCGAGCATCTCTGTCCCACTGCACTTTCCCCGTGTATACCGTAACCTCCCCTTTCTTCCTAAGTGCAGCAAGGTTGGGCGATGATATTTCCGTTTACTAAATGCATGTAGTTCATTCGGTTAGAGCGACAGTATAACAATATGAGGTCCGGGATTCGAATACCGGCTTAGTCTCGCTGAATTGTTACATTCCAAACGCTCTTGTTGAGTATGTTTTGTTCATTTCATCTCTTTCAGTTTTTTATAAAAATCCCTCAAAGTATGGTGTATTTTCCACAAATGATTTATCAGAACTGTAGTCAAGCCGGAAAAACAGTTTCCAATGCGTTGCTACAGTTTTGGTATTCTTAAAGTGAAAAGAAAACATTTCAACTAACATTACATCAGGGTATTAAGATTTCTGGTGAGCTTCAATCGCCTTCACAGCCTCTGCACACAATGGATGGAAAGGACCTTCAGCTGAAAAAAAGATTAATGGAAAATTATTATGATTAAAAGAAACAGCTAATTTAGAAACAAACTAAAAATATTAATAAAGTCAATCGTAAAAAAGCAACGTAAAACAGCACTCACTGTTTGATAACCAATGCTATTGATGTACGTGTACTTGCATAACATCATCCTTAATAATCCAGGGGTTACGCTCACTTACGCTCTTTGCACCCCTGGAATATGTCATGACGAATTCAAAGGTTCAGTGTGCACCGCCATGTAGATGATACAAGACGACCAATTAATAATTCTTAGACGTACATCAAAAGAATGACGCTGCACTGTAACGGCAAAATTGACTAGCTTTGAAGTCAATTGTCGAGCCTCTTTAATCTTCAAAAGACAGGTTTCAGCCTTACGACTGGTCAGGGTTTTAGTTTTAAATGAGACCAATCAGAAAGCTAGTCGCGTTTCTTCAATTCTGCCATACATGCTTAGAGTGGATGTAAGGGTTACCCCTAGAGTATATAGAGGATGACATATCAACAATTCAACCTACCTGGTTCTAGACTGGTTATGTCGCACGACCACACGTGTTTGGAATCAATGTACAGATCACACGCTGCATACTTTTTAGTTTTCTGAGTGGTGACCTTGTGACCTGACGCAGTTATCGCAGCTGCAATGAGAAAAATGTGCATAGTATATCTCCTATTGTAAGATATGTCTCTTAATTGTAGAACCGCAATATTTCACAAACATGTTAATTGAAATTATGCAGTGCGAATTTTCTTATTACATTACATCATAGTTTTTTTGTCTAGTTAGCTGGTTCGTTGAAAACAAAACAAAAAGAGACTTAATCAAATAACTATTTTAATGAAGCTGTCCTGTGTGATCCACCTTTCATGTATTTCAGTTAATAAGGTGGCTAGGTGCACTTCAGGAAATCGGCAAAACATAAATAAACAAAGACAACCGTTGGTGCAAATCTTTCATTGCGGTGATGATCTCTGTGAATTTTTTTTAAAATGTTGATTAAAACGGTATGAGGAGTTTGGATATGACTTAAAAAATGCACAATTTCAACTTCAGAGTGTGATGTTTATCGAGTTTTGGATGAAATCTGTAGCATGTTTTTCGCAATATTATTTTACAAATAATTGAATAAAAACATGGAATTCTGTATCATACACGGGAGAAAATCGGTTGGACTTACCCATAAAGCCCCTGGCCCTATCTAGGTTGTGGTAGTCGACGCCTCATCTCCTGTAAGGTCCATACTTTAGGACAACTTCCACCATCTACGTCAGAAAACATCGTATTTTACCCGTCAAATATCGAGAGAAATATTACTATACTAAAGGAACACATGAGGTGTAGAACGATCTTACTATCAAATACAAACGTTCCGTCAGTATTGTAATTAGCATTAATAAGTGTCCAAATACAGTATATGTCACAGCGTCTTTTGTTCAACAAATAAAAAAATCCTATATTTAATATTTTGTAAAAGTTGATTTGCATATATATATATATTAACGCGCAGTTATCTATGTTAATATTTCTGCTCTGTCCAACCATGAGTTTGACCTGTAATACACTTTTCTTTCTTTTTGTAATATCCAAGAAAAGACAATGTAGCGTTAAGATAAAGATAATAACCGTACACAACTATCTTAAGTGTCTTATGATAGTTAAACGTAACATACCAGTAGAGAATTAATAAATAAACAGTTTTGTTAGTTTCACATATCAAAAGACAATTTCAGTTCATAGGGGAAAACAAAGTAAATCAAAATATTAATAGAATCACTCACCCCCTTGGGGTCACATAGGGGAATCTTAACCCGAGGGGATGATTCTTAAGTTGCCAATCACGAGGCTTGGCCGAGTGTTGGGCAACTTAAGAATATTTCCCCTATCGCTCCCTCAAAGGGGTGAATGATTCTTTTTCTGTTGCCCTGATCACTCATTATGTATCATATACATTTTGTAATGTTAACGTTACAGGCTTAGTTCAGGGTTGAAGTGACGTTGATGGATTCTCGACGTGACGTCATGGTATTGTTGACGTGACGTCATACCATTGTTATGAATAGGTGAATCCCCCGTCTCAACGCTAGGGTGAGACAAGGATATTACACACCGGTAACAGTGGCGGATACACCTGTCCAGGGTAAGAGAACAAACTAGTATGTACTTAGTTATATAAACGAACAACAAAATAGTGTTTCTTATAATTATTATTATCGATTTTACCTGGTATACAAAGTTTGCTTCATAACCAATAAAGCATGCAAGTTTGCAAGCTAACAATACTTTGGCGTCAGTTTTGTATTTCCTACATGTAATCATCGCCCAAGTCTTTCACCATTATTGATAGTGATTTGGTTTTAAGGTTGATTTAGCCTGTCTTACGAATAAGATTTGCAGTATCGTTAGCATATCTTACGAATAAGATTTGCAGTATCGTTAGCATGTCTTACGAATAAGATTTGCAGTATCTGTGACGTAACTGATTGCTTAAACCTACGAAATCCTTGGCCTTTTTGGCGTTGTACATTGTAGGCGCGTGCAGATTGAAACATGTTAGTATACACATACTTAAAATTTAAAACAATACATCAGACAGTGTGTTGTTTCCATTCGAATACAAAACGTGTTGACTGTTTGACAGATGAATATAGAATTCCGGTATCATAATGTGGTTTATAACACATGTGATCAACCAACGGTGGGTACTGGTATTTTAGAAAAAAGCATGAACTTAATGCGGAAAGCTTTTCCACTTTAGAGACTGATTAGTTAAAATCCTATATATTTTAGAGACTGATTAGTTAAAATCCTATATATTTTCGTAGGTCAATGAACCGTATCCACATACACAAGACTAGCTTACAGTACAATACATTCTTGCATAGTCTTAGTGATGTCGTGAAATGAGGTAATACGTATATTTACATACTGATATACAAACCGTGTCCACGTTTTGACAAATTCCTTTTCAGCGTTAAATGGCGTTAACGGTTAATCTTGTCGAGTTGTTCTACCACGTAACCAATATCTAAAGAACCGGCCGAGAAATAGAACCAGACAAATATCAATCTATTTTTATATTTCAATCCTATACACACTACTGTACAGACGGGTGTATTGTGGTGTGTAGGACACTTGGCTGGACATTGCCATTGTAAGCAGACCACACATGTATAGTTCAGCGCCCCATTTAAATACTTTCTTCCTGTTGGTACTTGTTCTAAAAGGAACTACAAAATCGTTTATCCACTGTGGCTTATCAAATGTCTAATCCTTTGCCCTGTCGCATGTGTCACAAATGATCAATCAAATTAACCTAGAAACATACATGTATTAAAAACATTACCTATAACAAAATAAACAGTACTTTTTGAATTTTGGTCTTAAGTATCGTGCTTTCAACTTGAATTTAAATTTTAAAATTTAATATGACTATATATTACGTTATAGCTTCATCATTACAGGAATGTAATAATAAGCGAGACCGTTTTCTAGTTGCTAAATAATCATAATTAGCCTTTTGGACTATTAAAATCAAAATATCAAGGCTCTGGAATGGTTAGGACTAGGGGAGAGGGTTTGAAAGTATTACAATATTTCCATTTCTAAGAGCAATACGTAACTGATAATATTAACAGTGTAGTATAAATAATTCTTTTGTCAATCTTCTATCTATCTGTTGATATTTTGCATTATATAAGAGTTTATTTATTTAGTGATACAGATATTGTCCTATGAGGATAGTGCCCAAAATTATAGACCTACAATGTAAGCATGATTATTTTAGTTACATCTCCATAAAACGTCATAACATGGAATCGTGATCCATACCCATATGGCTTTTTAAAACATGACGTTAATATGATATATATATATATAATGAGATACAGAGAAATAGAAGAAAAAGTAAGAAAAAAAAAACATTTTCAGAAAAAAATTATTCATGAAAATACTTTAACCAAGCAGCAGCAAAAACGAAAATCCATTGCTATCACTCTGTCGAACGAAAAACAATGGTAATAATGGTAATAGAGAATAAAATGTTTATGCTACATTTTATTATTTTTGAAGAACGGTAACATTTGCCATTTTTAAGTAAGAAAACACGCAAAACTTTGACATATCAGTAAAATTGAAATAATATTCATTATATGAAAACAGCCTATGTAAATATTTTGAATATTTTTAATGTAGTGTTTTCCAGTATTAGCAATGCACCTTAAAATGTATTAATGTTGTCAATATGACCAGGGTTAACTATGAAATTGTAAAACATTAATATATAAATAAGGATAATTTATCATTGGTGTTACTCTTATCAAGAAAATCGTGAAGTTTATATATATTTCCTTTTACCTTTTCTACAAACAAACATAGGTGATAATTTGCATACCGTTATGGTGCAGTCCTTAAAAAGACAAATATAATCCCTGTTAATATAATTGTGAAGTTTAAAAACATTCATGGAATATGTAATGCATAGTTGATATATTGATATATCGTGAAGATTAGTTTGTTAATCATCCCTCTCCATTTCAGGTAACAATAGAAAATCCCGCTGTAGTTTTTCAACCAATCAGAAGCTTCTCCCTCTTTTTGGTTTGGATATCACATTAACAGGACTTGACAATGGAACTGACGTTGGTCAGGTAGCTCATTTGGTTAGAGAGACAATAACATGATAGGAGGACTGGGGCTCAAATCCTGTTCTGGTTCCGTTATATTTTATCTATTTGTTGTTGTTGTTTTTTCTCTCTTTTTTATTTTCTAACTTATTAAAGATATTTGCATGCTGGTTAAAAGTACGAATGCACAGTGACAGCTTTATCAGTGGTACGGGGATCCTTAAGGATGCAACGTCTTCCCATTAGCTATGGTTATGTTAATACAGTGACCAACGATGTGAAATTGTACTGAAATATCATGACCTAGATATAATCACACGAGATGCCAATAAAGTCAAGCAAGAAATGATTTCATTAATGAAGTTTTTATTTTTTGTTTCTACAGTCTGAGTGTATCAAGTTCCGACTCGTCTATGGTTTAAGAAGGAACCGTCATTGCAGACGTAGGTAGTTTAATAGGTCAAACCTATCGGCTTCAGCATCATCTAGAAAGAACAGAATAAAACAATTATCAAAAGAAGTAATCTCATATTTGATATTATTTGACGACGAAAGGGGGAAGATGCGAACGTCAAAATTCAATATGATATAAAGATATCTTAATCTTTTCATTTTAAATCGTTTGTTATCATATCTTATATTAATTTGCTAGCTTTAACGATAAAAGTATACCTTTGTTAATGAGATTAAGGTTTGTTTTTCTTTTCGAATTATGTTTTATTAAATTTGAAATAGTTTACTATGAACTTCATTTTCTCATCATTGACCAATATTTTGATTTCAATTAAAATGCGTTTAAAATATGATTATAAACATTTTATTACATCATGTCAGGGTTTAGGGTCATTTGGACCCTCCAGACGCGTCAACGGCATTTACAGCTGCTACACACATTGGATGCGAAGCGTTGGCTCCTGGAAACGGAAAAAGGAAAACAGTGTTGATTTTAGCTACAGAGCAACACGGTAGCAAATGAATAAACTAGCAGTTCTAAAGGGCCATACTTTCTACTAGCCCCCAAGTTATTTTAATAGTGTAGTTCAGTTACATTCATCCACTAGTTTAAAAACCTAGAAACAGATATGTCCACCCGATCAAAGTTATAAGGGGCCCATAATTCTCCGAATGGAAGTAGTTGTATCAAGTGGAAGGGTAAGGAATCATGTTTTAAATAATGAAAAGCCGTATCGTTTATTTGGCTTGTTCATTATACCTATGCGGTAGCAGAAAAGACCAGACCAAAGCTGTTCTGAATTGTAGTTTTATACAAGACGTGATATACGGTAGCTATTTTCCGGGTGGATGTGGGGTGGGGCGATGGCTGGAATGTGAATGTAAGAACACGCAGGTGAAAGAAAGCACCTTCAAAATGTGACAAATATTTACAGAATACCAAACTGAACTACAGCTGGGTTTTTTCCTTCTAAGCCTCATCGGTGACGCCAGGTTCAAAAAATATGAAAATCCAAATTGGATTAAACTACTGTTGAAACAGCATTGGAGGTACGTAAAACCACGTAATTATGTAAAGGGCCGGTTTCCAAAACGGCCCCTTTTCCGATTCAAATTTCCTGTTGGTGGTGCATTGCCCATGCCGTTGTGGTCACAAATCTATAAAGTATAAAGATTTAGGTCACTTGGTTTGTTTTTTATGGCTCCTCAAAGTTGTACCTTTCAGAAGCTGTCTAAGTGTTGATAAAATGTGCATGTTATGTAAAATATTAATGAAAATCTAATCAAATGATGGTCACCGTAAAGAATACATTCATGGCATGATTGTGACAAAAAATCATGTTTCCATCGCGCCATTTGGCTGTTTTATGGAAGAAACAATCTCAAAAATGCCATTTTCGATGATAACATTTTAGACACAAAAACTGTGTTTTTTAGAGAATACACCCTTTTATGGGCGTTGGATGCAAACCAATTTTTATCCTATTAAACAGTACGTAATATGCTATTGATGAGAGGAAAAATCATCAAAATGTAAGTGGTGGAACATTTTCAAATGTTGGGTTGAATTAGCCTATGGTTGAATTGCCGATTTTCGACTTTCTTTAGATAATTAACAAAAAAACGAGAGTATTTGCTCGGTATGTTGAGAATATGTACACAGATATGAAAAAAAGTGAGAGAAACACTTTTTCATAAAAAAAATCCAAGATGGCTACTTCACAAGTCCCCGTGGTTGAAGACATTGGCTGACAAATAGACAGAACAACAAACAAAACGTGTTCCTTATGATTTTGGTTGGTTTTCGCATTTACGGGAGTGTTCATAGCTACGGGCGATTGTATAATACCTATATTTATAAGTTTGGTTAGTCACATGGTAACGGGGATCTTTCATATCGAGCCCCAAACATACTTTCGACATATGCACTCCGTTGCCGCATGGAAAACTATTTCAAGTTTTGTCGGAATTTCTTTACCTGTGGTTGTAATGGTCGAGGGTTTTCCAGCGTCCTGTAATACCCAAGGTAGTACAAGATACTGGAGATGTGCGCACACATTCCCATCGTTCTCTCTCCAACTGGGCACTGGCAGTAGTAGTCCTTTATTGGGGCCTCAACATCGGGTGAAACGGTGAACCGTATCCAAACGTTATATTTCGTTTGGCTTTTGTGTCGAGAATGTATTTGACATCGGAGAAGGTCTGGGGAGTGCTGGTAAAGCCACACCTCATAGTCTCCGTCATCACTTAAATGTTCGGCGATGTAACCAGGAGCCAGAGATATCTGATACGTTCCACACGTAATGGTTCTCAAGTAATCAAGATCGAGACGGGGAAACAGTACGGAAGATGCATCCATCTTGACAAACTCGGACCTTGCCCGTCTAGATAGATCCGGATCTGTCTTGACTCTCTGAGCTAAACCATTCGGTGTTGTCAAACGGTCCTTCATACGTTCAGCCATTAGCCTATCTTTGGCATCTCTCTCTGGAGATCTCTGGTAGATCGGTCCTCTAATACCATTCAGACAGGCTGTGACGGTTCGAAGCAAAGCCTCGATGACATTGATAAAGCTGTTAGACACCAATTGCGTTCGGAAGAACGTCCAGTGTTTCAGACGACCATGATAGGATTCCACAATCCACCTCGATTTGGTGATAGTTCTGTCAAGATTTGCTTGGACGTCAGAATGTTGACTTTGACCGGGTTTCAGGTATGACGGCATGCTAGCATTGAGGCCAGAGGCTTCGAGAACTGGTAGGACATCTCTAAAACCTCGGTCAACGACAACGTTGTCGTCTGGTTGTAGCCAAGTAACTAGCTTGTCCATGACTTTTTTTGTAATTGTAGCATCATTTTCGCTGCCAGTGAATGGTCCTACTGTGTCCAGAATGTAGCCATCTGGTAAGGCGATGCTCATGAATTTGAGATAGTTTCTCTTCTTCTGGCCACAGTAGGACATTCTCTGGAGCTTGTGGTCGGAGCTTTTCTGGATATAAATATAGGTGCCATCTAATATGGCAGTGGCTTTATCTCCAAAAAATGCTTCTGAAAAGACAGTATTGTGCCCGAGCAACTGTTCTCTTGTCAAGTGATCCGGACCTAGAAATTGTGGGACTATCGATGTGTCTAATGCCTGTACTATGGAGTGGAAAGTTTTGGACACACTTGACTTGGAAATTCCAAAAAGAGAAGAACACTGACTCCAGGAAATGTCGGTTTTCAGTTTTACCCAGAACAGTAATAGAGCATCGTGTGTAGTCTTGGTATATATACCAGATGAAAGATATGGGGAACAGTGCGAGTGGATTTCGAGGAACTGATCTTTGGACCAACCTGTCCAGGCCATGCATGCCGAGTCATCAAGAGAAGAAAAGCTTATTGTAAACGCAGACTGGTTCTGTGAAAGGACGTGCGACACCTCTAGGAGGTCATTAATGATTTCGGACGATTTTGATGGTAACTGAGATTCCAAGGAACCTCTACCATCAAGGACAACCTCTGTAGACGGATCTAAGTCGTTACCAATAAGGTGAATGGAGCAGACGCGGGATGAGGTGGGACACCACAGTTTGTGTGAATAGATCAGGTGATGTCTTGCACGTTTTGGTAAGACTGATGATTTTGTTCCATTTCTTGCAAAGGTAACAAGACAGAGACAGCATTTTTTGTGTGAAGATGATCCATTCAAAAGATCATGAAGGGTCAGCAACGGCAGGATATGGGACGGGGAGTCGTCTTCTTCCTCTATTTCCTGGTTCTGCTCGGGTTCAGGTTCAGGCTGATTTTTGTTCCGAAGATACTTCATGTAGCACTTCTGGCAAATAAGTGCTTGTTCCTTTGCTGACATCAATCCTTGTTGCACCAGCGTATCTAGGAGCCATTTATATTGTGGACTATTTACATTGCGTGCACTTCTGTTCTTATTGCCACTACGTTTCTTGAAGTATACTTGACACCCTTCTCCAACACATTTACCCTCCATCTTGAAACAATAACGATTGGTTTATGAAGCGTCGATAAAGTAACAAAATAGCAAGCCACCGATGATTGCTGTAAACAGCTAATACTTAGTAGTTTGGTACAATTATGCGAAAATGTGTGATAAATAACGAACAACTAATTACACAAAATAACAAGACAATATAATAAATCACATTCAATACCTCCAAGAAGCGCAGAATTGATTGATTACTTAGAACAAAATAAAGTATTTCATATGGATAATCTATCTATTCGATGTGGCGTGGTCGGCAGGCACAAAGAAAGTGAGACAAGTCAGGGTCCCAACCCTGACAGAGCCACAACGCTTTGGAGATGGGACAATAAAACAAGGAAAGTGAGACAAGAATAGCTAGCGTCGAGTCAATGATTCCGTAAACGTATAGACAAAGACAAGAAGATACGGATAAATGTACAAGGCCACACGATCAGAAAATTCAGAAGAGGACAACTTGAGATAGAACAGTATTCATGTATCAGGGTGTCCTCAGTGTAAATCTTTATATCGATACTGTTTATTTAGTCGTTACACATCATAAAACTGTCATGAAAATATCCGCTCTGATATTCAATATAAAAGTTTGTATATAATAAGCTATATAATAGGGTTTCAGACAAGGTTGTTACTCATTTCCCCTTTTCTTTCAATTTACAACCACATTCAGGCGGCGATATGAGAACGTTCCACCACATGGAATTAGCTGATTTTTGGTACACATATGAAACAAGTAAAGCTCTATCCGATTTTCTGATGGAAATTTGCATCCAAAACTATATAACGGGAGAAAATTGCAATTTTATGGCATTTTTCTTCATAATTGTGTCTCTGCAAGTGCATTTTCATCCGAGAATTTTTTTTTTTATGTTTTATGAATAAACACGATGTTTTGGAAATATTTATCAAAAGAAATTTATACTATGTTGCGAATTACAATTTCGAGATAACCTTCTTTTATTTACGAACTTATGTCTTTGATGCTGAAATTGACAACTTTATAAAAATACATTTTCACTGAAATTATGAAATCTGGGTGTCGGAAAGGTGTAAAATTATTCTTCGGAAAAGAAAAAACAGTAGTTGAGCTAGATAAGAAATTATACGGGGGCAGGCTCCTATGGAGAATTAACATTACTGGAAACAGGCCCTTCATAAAATTCGAGAAGTTCCCGTTTATTTTAAATTAACTAATGAATGCAGTGTGTGGATTATGAACTCAAAAAGGATTTTTATGGAAAACGATTTGTATGGCTATCAAGGCTACATATCGCAACGGATGAATGTACAACACACAGGCGATTGCAACTTCAAATTTGGTAATATATACAACTAATTACATTTCACCATACAGGTAATCCAAAAGTGTAGACGACTCGGAATGCTGTTACGTACCTTGTTTAAACTCTGTGATGTTACAAGACCACACCAGTTCGGAATCAACGTACAGTTCACATGCATTGTCCTTCTGGATCTTTTGAGTGGTGACCTTGTGACCGGCAGAAGTTAAAGCCGCTGTATTTAAGAAAACAATTAATGACAAATCTTTCTTATTAATGAGTCAATCAATCGTAGTACTACACAAGTGCAATCTATAAATAGAACACATTTAAACTTTTAAAAACTCAGTTTTTTGTTCAAAGTCTCAGATGTAATTCCTTTGATAATGCAAGCACAGCTTAGAAATAATAATACATTTAGTACATTTATTATTTAAAATAAAGGAATATATTAAATATCCTCTTGGCGTGTTTAACTTAGATATGAATATGATGCGACAATTAAGATAATCTCATCTTTGTGGGAAGATCATTGTAATTTGGCTTACCCATCAGGCCCTTGACCCTATCTAGATTGTAGCCGGTGCCGTTTCATTTCCTGATGGGTCCATACTTCAGGACAATTTTCACCATCTACGACAAAACAATTGTTCATTACTTATCAAATAAAAAAGGGTTTATAAAACTATTTAACAAACTATGATCACAAACTATCAATACTTAATATAATATAATTAGTATCATTTAGAGATACGACAAAATTGCAAAAGGCTTCTGTGTTTAACGATTCAAATTTAAATGTTTCTAATCCTTACAAATGTGTTTCATCGCCATTATACAAAGTAAAACAAAATTAATATCTAAGATAAAAGAAATAGATTGTTTTCGTTAAGAATTCAAGGAGTAAAGTTTTATGGTAAAACACATACACAGCATGTGTAAAAAGCAAGCTTAGTTAGCTTGATATTTCAAACAAGACAAAATTAAGCGATTAGATTATCAGTGAAAACAATAATTACGCCTAAATGTATTTCGTTATACTAACATAAATGACGAAAGAAAAGCACTTTTCATATCATTTTACAACCAATTATGCGAAAAATACTATTAGAAGCAATTAGAGATGGGCACGGTTGATTATGAATACAATTTAAACGTGGCCCGCAATATCTGTTACGTAGCGAACTATCAAGATTAGAAGAATCATGCATTTTGTTTCTATTTATAACACAGGTAGATTCACGATGATTACAGCCATGCAGTACGTATTCATCTAAGCAAGCTAAGCTTCTAGACACAGTTTCTGATCAATGCTAAGACAAGTTAACAAAATGACGGACTGCATACACAGCCTTCCTGTGTAGTAACGTGCCTTTTATGTTATACATAACACCCCACTAAAGGGTACTGCCATTTTAAAAGGGTCATCCAGGTATGGTCGAAGTATTGTTATGCCCACAGGTTTATCAGGGAAAAATATATATATATATTGCTGAAGATCAATGTACTGAATCGTAGCCACATACACGTGATTAACTGGTAATTAAATAAATTGATACACTCACTTTGCTCCAATTCTGCAGGAATCCTTTCTAGTATTGAAAATCTTGTCGAGTCTCTTCTACATGTGACTAACACAAACTGAAACGTTCGATCAACAGAACATGACCAATGTCGGTCTATTTAAACACTTCTAAACATAGTATGTTTTACGAACGTGTTGTGTCTTGTCTCTAGGGTACTTCGTTACAACATTACCATTGTGTACAGTACCATTGTAAGTAGACCACTTATTTATAGAGTATCGCATGTTTTTAAATGCTCTCGCTGCCCGATAATACTAGAACTCTGTTTAACTTAGAAATCGGTAATCCGAGTTTCGATGACCCTGTCTAAAGAGATTAGCTTTCTAGTCTTGAGAAGCATAAAATTTACTTTAAAACATAGGAGGGTTTAATTGCACTATATTGCGTAAGAGCACCAGTAACGAGTGTAGCTAATTAAGTATCTCGTGCGTAAGTCTATATGCTTATCATTTAAAACTTGAACGATATTCAAAGCTAAATAACAAAAATAGACAAAATGGTGAATATTTACTTAAAACGTAAGTTGGTCTATGGTTTCATCCCGTAATTATTCAAAGAGGTTTTACCATTTGTAAAAGTGTGTTTATATGATCTAGTAATAGTTGGAAACGCTCGCAATTTTATAAATATAAAAACTTATAAAACAAATAAATAAAAAAATAGATAAACAAACTAAATCAACATCAAATATCTCGAAATCTAAGAAGATTTTTCGAAAATATCAACCTTTTTCCACGTTTTAATTTCCCAAATAAATTATGCACGACTATTGAAACAAAAAATAATGAATATATATTCTACTGATAATAATGCTTTAATTGTTTTGTTGTTTGTTATTGGTTATATTCAATCAAAAATAAATTGCACTGCACAATAAAACTGTTTCGTTCTTCTATGACTCATCGGTAACGCTAGGGACCATTAAGATATATCCGAATTCGTCTTCACTGCTGCTAAGGCAGAAGGGGGATGTGCATAAATAAAACGCCTAAAACTTATGAATTTCAAAAAGTAGAGGAGTACTGGTTAGTTTGAGGTTAATTACGGATTAACTTGAATATATTTTTCATGTTATGGAGCTATAACACAAAAACTCCGGGGTTTTTGTGTTATATCTCCATAACATGAAAAATATATTCAAGTTAATCCTTATAATTTAATTTACTATACACAATCACTTTGGAAATCCACTTGTATTGATGGACTCTTTTCTCTTAGAAATTATTGCGCTGCTGTATCAGCCAATCAAAAGCGACGTTACAAATGAGGACGTCATTTTTTATGTTATGGGCTGATAACATAAATTTTTAAGTCAATTAAAATGCTTGTTACAAGCAAGATTAAATTATCACTGAGAAAAGTGTGTATACTGTGAACGGTGCCAGATACAGATAATTGAGGCTATCAAAGTAAGGGCAAACCTGGACGACCAAACATCCACCAGTCTACCAACCTGTATCTTGAAAAATAAACGCAAGACGTACGTATTTGTTTGCACTTTTAACATTTGAGTATGCCAACAAGAGTACCGCGAGGCGGAACAATATACGCCCGTCGAATGCCGTATAGTGTTATTGTTACTGAAATGAACAAAGGGCAATAACTTTTGAAAATATAGTTGATTCAAAATTCTTTTCAAGGAGACACAACTTCATATCATGATTATAATGTAAACCAAGTTTCAAAGAGAACGGTCCAAAAATGTAGGAGGTGATTGCCGGACAAACAAAAGTTTACGCCGGCCGGCCGGCCGGCCGGCCGGCCGGACAACCCCATACCATAATACTCCCGTCACAATTTGATGGGCGTATATAAATGAAACTTTTAACTATTGAAGATATCGTTTTCATTATAGGTTATGTTTATTTGCCTTGGTCTTCACTTTTGATGGGTGCTTTTAGCCTTAAATGGGTATCTTTGTTTGCCTAGTACTTATCTTTGATGGTTTTGAAGGAGTTGTTAGATTGTGTTTTAGATGTTAATAGGCAGAGTGTTCAATATGAGTTCTTCTTATATTGTAAAGCAGTTCTGCAGTGTTGTTGGGGATCAAGTTTGACCTCTCTCATTATCACGTTCTGTTTACTCTCAAATATTGATGACATGCCTCTTGTATAACTTGATCATCTGTTTATTTGTTGCTAGGGTCTAACGTTTTCTTTACAACAAAGGTCATGTGAAGACGGAGGAAGCCTATGGGGGCATCGCAGACGAAAAGAAAGAGTAGGCAAGAAGAACAGATTTAGACTCTGAGCATTGCATTTAGGAAGCAGATCGATTGTACCCTTAGATGTCACAGAAAGACAAACCAGGGTCTGCAGGGCTGTCCACATCAGTCGCCTCTTACAATAAAATGCCGTGGGGTACAGTTCTCCCCTATGAACTTAGGGGTATTTCGCGATTGTGTCCGCACGGTCTCTGTTATATGCTGGCGTTGATGCAATGTAAGATCACTGTGTTGCCTATATCCTCTCTTTGTATTATTTGTGTTATATATTTCGCTGTTGTTGGCCTCGCAGGAAGCTCTGGAAATTGTTAAGAGGCATTGTGGTGTTTCTTCAAATTCCGGTCGTCGGTGCTCTACATGGCCCATATTATATGACGTAAGACCATACTGACCTTGTGAAATATAGGGCCCTTGTATCATGATTTAAAAGTGTTAAAATGGTAGACAAAAGCTGGTCCAGAATAAATATATATTTTTTTTTTATATTTTGTTGATTTTCTTTTCAAGTGAAGACTTCTAGTTCTAAAATAGATGTCGATCAACATTTCTTATGCACCTGTTTTAAGCCATTATGGAAGTGTTGAATTTTAAGATGCATCTGTATGTTAGTTGTTTTTAGAGTACATTGTACGATGGCCGACAAGTAAGTGCCTGTCAAAAAGATGTGAATTTTCATATCTTTTTGTACCATGGTACACTTTTATATGGTACACAAAGATATTAAAATTCAAATCTTTGTGTACCATGTAAAAGTGTACCATGGTACACAAAGATATGAAAGCAGAAATAAAATCAACCCGTTGCTTTTGTATATTTCTGTGCCAAAATAACGGCCGAAAACAGCCATGGTACAGAAACATGTGAAACCATAGGACGAAAAAAATACCAAGTATGACAAATTGCACCCTGATAAGGCTGTCATCACATACAATGAAATGTTATCGCACGGAATGTCTGTTATACTTATTACACCAATGAGCTACCAAACTATTACTTACTCATTTAAATTGAAATCAACTATTCAATATCCTTTACCGAATTTTATAAATGTTTTACGTTAAAAAGGAAGTCATTCTGGATTATTGTTCTAAAACTAACATTTCTAATGTATTCTATCTGTTTCAACTTCTCAAATGAAAGAAACTCCAAATAAGTTGAAAACGCCGACAGGGTCCGTAGGGGACAAGGGGACAATCAATTTAATTACTTCGAAGGATAGTCTACCTTTTTATATTTTTTGGGGGAAAATACGATGAGCTAGTTGTACGATTCTTTTATAATCTGGACATCTATCAAAACAAGGGAAATGACAAAAATATTCAGATGTCCTTGATCCCTTTTGGAGACCCTGTCAAGGCCCCAATACTTACACAATTGCAACTAACTCTGTTTTTCATCAGAAGTGATTAATGAACTTCACGACTTGTTTCGACGTTGTTATTAGGGTTTCACTATTCGGGGTCCGTTCTGGTCATAGTGTCCGATAACAACATTCCGATGCTGTGGTGGTACACTTTTTTCATATCTATTTGTACCGTAGGAGGTACAAAAATAAATGAAAAAAGTGTAACGCGGTACTAAAAGAAGAGAAGCTTTCATATCTGTTTGTACCGGGCGAAAGTGTACCACGGTACAGAAAGATATGAAAATTCAAATAATTTTGCCGGCTGATATCGGCTGTTGGTACATATACATGTGAAAGTAAAGAGTATTTTGTAGGTTGTTTATAATCTTTATGTACCATGGTACACTTTTATATGGTACACAAAGATTTGAATTTTCATATCTTTGTGTACCATATAAAAGTGTAACGTGGTACAGAAAGATATGAAAATTCAAATCTTTTTGTTAGGCTCTTGTCGGCCATCGTAACATTGCAATAGTGATACATGCTAATATGAAATAACAGATGTTATATCAGATGTAAAACAAATTATCCATAAGGTTATTTCTAACGTGTTTCTTCTACAATTCAGAAAATGTCTTTGGTACGCTATAAACACTCTTATGTACAAACTCAGAACAAAATTCAGAGTTTTGAGAAATAGTCGAAAGAGTAGTGTAAAAATGAGATTTCTCATTTTCGGACCTAAAACAGCTGTACTTCACTAGAAAAATGCGATAACTATCTACAAGTGTTTCATCCTCATCCACGTTTTGCGCTGTTTCAAAATTAATGTTAAAATGGTTTAAAAATTTAAAATCACGTTTTCAGAGCCTTCAGCTGTGGTTTTGTTTTTTAACGTTTTAGTAACTGTATTGACGTGTACGAGTAAACGTCGATATTCTCAGATAAAAGGACACCGCACAAATGACAGTTTGTAATCGATCTCACGTACTGAACTGTTATAACCCGGACACGTTGACATGACACAAGAATACAGACAATCAAGGTGTATGAAATAATTTATATACTTTTATTTTGGTTTTACAGTCTGAGGACATCAGGTTCCGACCAGTCTCGTCTTTAAGAAGGAACCGTCATTGAAGACGTAGGTAGGTATAAAGGTCATACCTATTGTTTATCACATCATCTGTAAGGAATAATAATATAAAAACGTCAATCAAATATATGAAAATAATTAATGCTATTTGATGACCACTGGAGAGAATCAATGCCTTATTACGTCAGAACTGGGATTGGTTTTTTTCATTATAAATCCCACAGATTACTAATAACTTTCTAGAAAAATCCATACACTTTTAGAGTAATAATATGACTTATGGGAATGATATTTTAAACACAAGAGGATACAATGTATATGATTTTTTTTATTCGAAGTAGCAAGATAGAACAGTTACATGTAAACGGATAGCTAAGGCACCGGTGAACACCTTCGACGCTAAAACTTCATTCTCTTTACTAGAAATTTTAATTTTATTAATCTTACAAGCGTGAAGTTATAAAATTTGATTCATTTCATGAAACAAGATAAGTTTAATTTACTACTATCAATATTTTTTGTTGGCATGGAACAAAGTGCTTTGCTAATCGACAACTTTTATTTACGCTACCTACAGTAACTGATGCAATGCCCTTTTAAGTTGTCATCTCTTAAAAGACAGCAAAGAAAGGAAATCTTCTGATATAAAGCAACTGTTGTCCCTGTACTGAGGGGTATATCAATACTGCCGTCGTTCCTTGACATTCGTACTCATATCATTTAAAGTGTTATAAAAGATTCAATTTCAATTTCAACACATTGTATTGACTTTGAATGTGTCAATGGTTATAACAGATCTTTTCACTTACATTACATATATATTACGATGCCCTGTGAGCTTTTATAGCCTTCAGAGCCTCAACACACAATGGATGGGAATGGCCGTCACCTGGAAACAGAAAATAGAAAAAGCAGATTTACGGAATATATATCAGGAGGAGCGAAACGGTTAGGACATCGTTGTTAGTATATGACAAATATTTTAAGTTAAATACAACTGCATGAGGATCCCCAAGATGGACATCCTCGAAATTCCAAGGCCGGGTTACGCTCATTTACATTGTATGCACCGCTAGAATATGTCATGATGAAATCGCAGACTGTGTAAGCGACACCTAGCGGAAGCGTAATAGTAAAATTAACAAGCTTTGAAGTTGGGTGTGGCTCCACTTTAATCTTCAAAGATTGTTTTGCCTTAAACCAATCAAATTGCTAACCGCGTGCCTTCGATTTTGTCATAACATATTCAAGGGGTGAGGAGAACATAAATGAGAGAAACCCGTGGACTTTTAATGATGCAGTTATGCTGTTATTCCCTAACATACCATAATAACAAACTGGCAATATTATGAAATCGACGTTTTGATACCAATATTTGTCTACCCAAACTAAGCATTTTGACATTTGGTTTGAAACCCAAAAGTGAATCTCAATAAAGCGTCCATTAGCCAAATAAACGAATGAGACGTCAGTACCAATATGGTTTTGCCAATTAACACAATAAGATGTGTCATTAGAAGGTTGTCAAGAAAAAACACGGAAGTATAAAAGTTAAAGATTCTAAGTACTGTAAATGCCCATCAGTTTATTACTGATACTTACCTGGTTGCAGCCCTTTAATGTTACATGACCAAACTCGTTTGGAATCAATGTACACCTCACATGCTTCATGCTTCTCCGTCTTTTGAGTGATGACCACGTGACCAGAACAGGCTATAGCCGCTGTAGTGATAGAAACACAAAGCATGATTTATACAACTCCATATCATACATTTCTGACTTAATACCTTACCGTTGCAAAAATGCTTACATTGCATATAGACGTATGGTATGTTAAGTTGTGATGTACTAAATACATGGACACCAAAACTATAATTTTGACCTTTAACTTTTTTCACCACTGTAGAGCATAATGGACTCTTCCAGATTAATGCATGGTAGAGTTCACTCAAGTTACATAAGGGTGAAAGGGTTAATTTGTACCACTGATGAGTCCTTAATGGACGAAAAGCTTTATTTGAGTCTCTACTTTGAAGTACTACCTTTCATTGAAGTAGGTGTTTCCTCACTTCGTGTTTCTAATACTTATTTTATTACCAAACCCGTAATTAGTATACCTTTAATTACTTGAGCAAAAAAAAAAAAAAAAATGTATCAATGCATTTAATTTCTTTTATGCGCTTACTTTTTTAATAATAAATAAATATATAAAATAAATAATATAAAATTCTTTGGGTGTGTTGTTTTTATATTTACACGAAATTTGAATTTATAGGTTTATGGTATTTTAACTAAAGATTCGACATTTACGGGAGACAACTCTGTTGGACTTACACAACAAGCCCTGGACCTTTCCTGCATTGTGGTAGATGCCGTTTCACCTCTGGTAGGGTCCATACTTCAGGATAACTCGTACCATCTACCACAAAGAAATCAAGTAAATTAAACTTTAAATAAAGAGAGAGATATATAAGCATGAACTTTAAAAATTTTAAACACGCAAAATCAATTAAAAAACGTACCACACCAGTTCGTTCTAATTGTACGGTAACTAGTATCAATAAGCGTCGTACACGTCGATATAGTTCAAAGCATTGTTAATTTAATCATTTCAACTAAGATATTACTCATATTTGTATAAGATATATATGCATATGAACGTATTCTTTATTAATAACATTTCTGGTCTATGCAAACCGTTTTTGATCCATAAAACACAGAGATTATTATTTTGTATGTATCAAAGAAACGGATACGTTAATTTTATTGTTAAGATAACAAGGCTTTTGACATTAGGATCGTGTTGAAATATACCTTACATCAGATATATCAATACACCTACACATGATGTATAAAAAGAAAGCCCAGTCAGCTTGATGATTCAAAGGTGAAAAGATAAATGTTTAGAAACAATATGGATTTATAAAAAAAAAAAAAAAAAAAAATCTTACATTTAGATATGCCAGCATAGAAGATAACCAAAAAAACACGTATCTTAATAATTCAATCTATATTATGCATGTTCTGTAGATTTCTGATAATAGCTTGACTTTAAAGTATTTTATTATCTTGCAAGGTAACAAAGTTAATACAAGGGGAATTGATACTTCTGACTTTAAATCACGAACTGTAGATTAAAAACACAATTAATAATATTGTAAAAGCACGGTTGATTAATCATAAACTACACACGAGGTTGTCAATATCTGTAACGTAGCTGATCGTGTACATTTGAAGATTCTTGCTTTTTGTTTACATTGATAACATAAGTAGATCCACGATAAACACGGGTAAGTATACAATATGTTACAGTGGTGCAGGTCGAGCTTCTTGACACTATTTCGTATCCTTTATCAAACCAAAATCCGTTATTGAGCGAGTAAATAATACAGGTTTCTAGCGTTGTACCGCGTGTTTTATCATACATTACACGCCACTGGAAGGTACTGACATTTTAAAAAGGTCAAAGACGTTCTGTTGAAGGCTTTTTATGACCACAAGCTTATCCGTTTTACAATTTTACATTTTCTTAAAGGCCAATGTACCGTAACCAAATACACATAATTAAATTGTAGTTCAATACCTCTATGCACACCTTTTGGTCCCGACGTGAACTGAGCTGAAATACAATTTTACGGGTATACTCACCTTGTCCAAACTGTGAATTAATCCTTTTTTTTTTTGGTATTAAATGGAGTTCCGTTTGTATACGTACACACAGACCAAATCTGTGGAAAAATATAACTTGGCCAATATATCGATCTAGTGGAATATTTAGTTTCTCTGTACACAGAATTATAAGTACGGTCGTGTTGTGTGGCTAGCACACTCAAGTATACACCACCATTTTAAGTAGATCACCTATTTATAGGTTGTTTCCAATGCTCTCTCCTCGATAATAATAGCACTCTGTGGAATTTAACACATGATCTGTGATCCGGGTCTCCAAAGCCGAGTCTGAAAGACAAACTCTCCTGGTTCTGATAATGAAAAACTGTAACAGAAAAACTAATATGCAGCATCAGGTGTTTTCTTCAGTGTCTGCTGAGGGAACTTAAAGTACATGCAACAAGTTCGGGGGGGGGGGGATAAGTTTTAACAACTTGTGCCCAATCCCTTGTTCAATTCTATTGGCAATGAATATGTTTAGTTTGGTTTGGTTTGGTTTGGTTTAATTTTGTTTAACGTCCTATTAACAACTAAGGTCATTTAAGGACTTGCCTCCATGTTCAGGCACTGGTTTCACCCGTTGTCAGTATAATGTGACAGTGCGGAATGCTGTGCTGGGTGCCTTTGGCATGGTATTTCAGTGAGATAGCACTATAAAGCTGGCATCAGATCCGCGCTTTCACAAGGAGTCAAGTACACCAACATACCCTGTCTACCTTTGACATTGTATTTCAGTGAGATAACACTATAAAGTTGGCATCAGATCGCGCTTTCACAAGGAGTCAAATACACCAACATAGCCTGTCTACCTTTGGCATGGTATTTCAGTGAGATAGCACAATTAAGTTGGCATCAGATCCGCGCTTTCACAAGGAGGCAAGTAAACCAACATACCGTCTTCTACATACACACACGCAAGTACGGATACTCTACACACATGGAGGCACGTCCTTAGCCTGTTGGCGATTTTGTTTATCATTCTCAAAATTAAATATGCACAACTACAGACCTAGGGGAGCCTACATACCAAACCTGGGAAAGATCCCTCCAGTTCTTCCTGAGAAATAGTGATAATAAACCTTTAATGTCACAATCCAAGGTGGTGGCTTGTCGACCATTTAGTTTATCTGATCATTCTCAAAATTAAACATGCACAACTAGGGACCAAAGGGAACCTACATAACAAATTTGGGAAAGATCCCTCCAGTTCTTCCTGAGAAATGGTGATAATAAACCTTTAATGTCACAATCCAAGGTGGTGGCTTGTCGACCATTTTGATTATTCGATCAGTCCCAAAGGTAAACCTGCACAACTAGGGACCAAAGGGAACTTGCATATAAAATTTGAGAAAGATCACTCTGGCACTTCCTGAGAAATAGCTATAACCAACCTTTACTGTCAAAATCCAAGATGGCTGCCTGTCGGCCGTGTTGTTTATCTTATCAGTCTCAAAAGTTAACCTGCACAACGTGGGACCAAGGAAAACCTGCATATCAAATTTTGGAAAGATCCCTCCAGTACTTTCACTATCAAAATCCAAGATGGCTGCCCATCGGCCATGTTGTTTATCCGATCAGTCTAAAAAGATGCCCTGCACAACTAGGATCCAAGGGGAACCTAAATATAAAATGGTGGGCTAAAAACATACCTTTATTTTCCCTGTTGGGCCGATTCCTCTGCCACCAGAAAACCACAGTTGATACAATGACGAGTCCCGGTGGCTTAAAGATTCTCCAGAGAAAATTTGGGTACAATTTTTAAACAGTATTGAAGGAGTTTCCCCTTAAATGTTCCTTAATCAAATTGTCTGCCGCTGTTTTGAAATAGCAGCGTCTTCAAAGAAAAAAGTTTACGACAGACGGAAGTCCATGATGCAAGTTCATTTGGCCCTTCTGACCAGGTAAACCAAAATCCAAACTTCAGGATTTGGAATTTATTTACATGTTCACTTAATCCTAGCAGAAATAACAAACAGGCGTTTTCTTATTCATTGTTATTTTATTTTTCAACACAGCCATCTGTCTAGCAGGCTAAACCTGCTAAAAATAAATTTTAATTCTTTTATCACTTGACTAATCCTTTTATCATAATCTATATATGTATTGGGATATAGATATATTGAAAGGGCCTTTAAAGAAAACAGAAGCCAAAACAATAATCTTGCTAACCTCATTAAAAAGATGACATTTCTCTTTTATAATAATACAAATTTCTAATCGACAAAGTAATTTCTTCTTCAAAAGACATTTGGAACTGTTTCCCCAAGCCTTGATCACCGCTTTTCTATGAGCAAGCTTTGATGTACATGTCATCACGTTGTATCAGGTTTAAGAGTTGTCCATTCAAAAATATGATTCCCTAGTTTCGACTGTAGACCATATTTTCTATTGGGGCAATGCACTATCAACGTATCTTACTTTTTAGTGTCTATACTAAAAGGTGAAATCATTACATGAGTCAAGATGTAACGAGAGCAATAAAATCATTGCGTAGTGTACAGTCTTGTGGTCATTGTGTCTAGAAGCATATTTTCAAACCAAACTTTGTCTTGAATGTCCCTTTAAAGATTTTGTTGCTTAATTCCGATTTTTATTTAATTCTCATAAGTACCTGTATGAGAATTAACCATTGCAAGAAAACTCAAGATTCACATAGTGTACACTATGTAGTGTATTTAAGCACAAAAACTGAATGAGCACAATTAAAGACCAATGAACAGAATACTGGAAATGAAAGGAAAGAAGACAGGATTTCAGAACAAGGAAAATGTCGAACAATGCGACAAGAAAAGATCAATGGCTGTACTCATCAACTCATGCTTTTTACATTTAGACAAAAAGAAAACGGACACTAAAAATACATTTTATGTACAAAAAAGGATCATATTTATCAAACAACACAAGAAAAGTATGAAATAATATTATTATTAGGTATATATCAAAAGTAAAACAGCCTGTCACCTTAAACTTTTGTTACCATGTACTCTCAATCATGCTTGAGTGTCAGACAAAAATCATGTATTACACCAGTAATAAACCCAAGCTCTGTAAAGAGCCCAACCCCTCAAAATAGGAAATTTAGATATATGATATTCAAGATATAAGGTTGTGAAGGGACAGGGCGGCATTTTTTTGAAGATCAATCGTCAGTTCATTCCTTCCACTTCATCTCTTCATGATCATTATTAAATGAAAGTATATCCCCATCAGAAAAAAATATTCATCTTTAATCAGGAATAGCACTATCTAGAAAACTTACTTTTTCTACCATATTCAGTCTTCTTGTCCATTTATACCCTTTCAAAAGACAAAATGGTCTAAACCATCTGATCATGTATAAAACATGGTATCTGTGAATACAAAAGTAGCTCCTGGCCACCTGTCTCAAAATGGTCTGATTAAAGACATCTCAACTTGTAGGTTATTATTTTAACCCTTTCACCCCCATGTAACTTTATAGTAGACTATCCCATGCATTGATCTGGATGAGTCCATTATGGTCTACAGTGGTGAAAGGGTTAAGGTAAATGTCACACACAATGACTTTGAATAGATCAGTCAGATTTTCGTGCAATATAAACAAACATTTTATGTACAGGCGAAAATAATAAATGCATAAATTTTCTAATACATGATTTAGAAAAAGTAAACATGGGACAAATTAGTGATTAATACCAACAAAACCTAGCATTAATTTTTACCCCTCTTATCTCTAGCTTAAGCATTTGTCAGATCATTTGATGAACGATATTGAATTTTATATTGTTCTGATGAGAAGCAAATACACCATGACCTTCATCTCATAGCAAAATAATGTGGGTAGCCTGATAGTCTGAGACTAGTGAAATCTCTGGCTTAGACTAGTCGTTCTACAAACTGTTAGCTTTATGGACTTGTCCGAATTTGATATAACTTATCATGTTGAATAATATTAGGTTAGTGGAATTTGCACATGGACTGGTAATATTGAAAACTACAAGCCCAAATTTACTGACTAGTGGTTTTCTAAAATTAATTTCTAGCCCTGCATCTTATTGCACATTACAGTGAGGAAAGAGCAGTTAGCATGTAAATGCGTCTATAATCTATACAGTTCAGCAATTTTATAGAAAACCCTGAGTTTTATGCAAGTGATAACCTACTTAACATGCATTGTAATGTAAGCACACTTTTATCAGTTTTAGTATATTTTTCAAATGTAACACATTGTTTATATATATGCATATTCAGAAAAAAATCTCACTACTTTTTCATTGCATAATCTAAAATGCATATTTTCAGGAGAAAGAAATGCCCTGACACTGGAAATAAAACTATAATTTATTTGTGTTGTTATTAATATATCAAAGCCGATATATAAATACTGTTAGACCAGATTGTGAGATTTTCACTAAAAAGAGCAACAAAGAGAAAAAAAATCAAACAGAGAGGACAGAAAATCAATACATTTACATTCAGAATGACCAGATTGCGAGACCTTCACAGAGCATAGCAACAGACAAGCACTAATAATTATACAGGAAATGAATGCACAAAATCTTCACGTCTGCAAATAGATACCAGTTGTAAACTCTGTTTAGGAAACCTGTCTCCACTTCTTTCTACATCATGTGATTGGAAAACAATACGTTTTCTCACACTTTCACAATACGTGCTGAGCAGCAAAGCAGTTATATCACACCGTTTCAGTGAAAAATACGAAAGCAAATATCTACTGGCCACTGCTTTTCCGAGCTGAAAAGCTTTTTTCTTTGGACAGAGCAAGTGCCAGAAATACACCCTTTTTTCCAAACAAAACTGTTCTGTACTTTGGCCGTCGCTCTCAATCTGTCTTTTTATAAGCCACCATTGTGTCGAGCTTATGTATACTGGTGGAGAACGAGCGTAGTCTCACTTCCTCGGAGTTGGCAATAAAGTGGGGACCGTCCTCGCCCCAGGAGCTGGGCACCTCCACATCCTTGTCTGTGTATACCAGCAAGTCAAATGCACCTGAAAGAATAATGACAGCTTAAATAGTCTGTAACATTTCAAATTGTTTTTTTAACCAGGCTTTCTCCCGTGTTTTAGCACGTTTTCCATGTTATCAATCTGACACAAAATAGCCTGCATTTAAAACTGAAATTATCCCAATAGTTTCAATAACTTCAAAACAACATAGTCAAATCACGCACACTGACTAGTATGCATCTAGTATTCATTTTGAGTTTTTAGATTAAGTTACAGAACTGAGGTTTGCATCATTACATTGTTACACTAGTGAATGCAAGTAGTAATGCATCAAATTATAAAGCTTATTATACTATGAATAAAACACATCATTCACATACAAATATTTAACACATACATGTATCATCACATATCCTGCAATTTAGCATAAGGGCTAACACAATCTTAACTTAAAACTTGTGTGGTCAGTTCAGGAAAACCAAACAGCATTTGTTTTCATCTATACTTAGTGGCAGTAGATATAGGGATGGGCTTACCTATTTAATACCAAGCATGATTTTTTTGCCTGATCAAATAAGGTGGTTTATTTGTTAAGTAGCCAACATTGAATCATTGAGACAGTATGCAACACCAGTAAAACTATCTCAATAGCAATTGTATCGCTGATGATTTTAATATCACAAAAGTCAAAATTGGATTCAAAACTTTCAATCGTCACCATTTTTCTATACGCAATCAGAAAGGGTCGTCTCAGACAATTGTGCCTACTGAACCAAGGAAGCTTTAATTAAGTTTTACATGGAAACTGAAAACCTTGCCATGACGTGGCCAGACAGTCAGGTCTTAGGAGGTTACAGTTTAATGTAAACAAGCATGGTTCTTACAGGCACTCTCCAGCAGAGGCAGGAAGGTCACGGAGGCTGTTATTTGTCGTATCACAGAGCAGATTTCTTTGTTGATATCTTTCACTGATTTTTCTCTTGGTTTACTGAAAAAACGTAAGTGAAAATATGTTAATGAAAAGTGTCAAACATTTCAATATTGCAACATGAAATGCGTTGAAAAACTTAAAAATTGTTAACATTTCAACAGTATTCAGAATAACTAACTTACTTTTAACGTTTGGAAATAGATGTCGAGAAACACTTTTAAAAAAAATGGAACCGAGGGCTACTTCCAGATGTCATGCGAGGGAGACAGGGAAACAAATTAGGATGGTATGGCCTACAATGATAGGTTTGAATATGTAATGAGCAAGGGGGAGGAGAGGGCAGGATTGGGCTCAAGGCTATGGTGGTTGGTCACTGTAGATCAGGGCCCGTATTCACAAAACCGTTCTCATGCTCAAGCATGGATTCTGTGCCAGCTGTATTGTAACTTACCTAAATCATGTCAACGATCAACAAGTCAAATTTAAATATTGAAAACAGTATTCGGCTTAAAGTTTCTTCAATTTTTGTCCAAAACTTTAGCAAAACAAGATTTTTTAAATAATTTATAACTGGAACAAGAAATTAGACTTGAGCACAAAATCCATGCTTGAGCACGAGAACAGTTTCATGAATACGGGCCCAGGTCAAATAAAGTGACTGACCCATACATATATTGTATTTTTAAATCGACTCGAATGACAATATTTTTCATCATGCTTTTTTCTCAGCCAAATGAGCTAACAATACTACAGGATTCAAAGCAAAACATCAACATTGCTTCCTGTAATTTTTAAAAGCTCTGTTAGCTTTAATTTGTTGACCCTGGGATGTACTGTACAGTTACCTTTCTTCTAACACAGTTTTGTCACACTCCACATCAAACTGCCATCGTTCCATCACCTCGTTGGTGTCTATATCTTTGATGACAACAACCAGTTTCTTCACCGTCATACTCAGCAGCCATTCTATAAGAGATTGGTTATTTTTAAAATATGTGAAAGATATATTTAAATTTATGATACTGTTTTTACGTAAAACATTGAATAAAAACATGTTTTTTTCAATTTGAAAGTGGTATTCATTAATTCATCATGATCACAAGCTTGCTCAATTCCTTGTCATTCACTATATATATATATATACATATATAATAAAGTTGAACAATGAAATAGTTTTTCATTTTCAACAAAAATAGCATTTAGAACAAGTGAAAACTGTACATTGCTAAACTTTTGTCTATACATTAGTGACTTTTGTTTTCATTCCTACAAGTGTTAAGAAAATTAATTTTGCAAATGAGACAATGCGACAGTTTTATCATTTATTTATTTTTAAATTTGCGATTTATTCTCCTTTTGAAAACATTATCCATCACCCCAAATACAATGGATTTATGTGTATTTACTTTTAACGTGTGACAACACTTCGTTGAGATAATTTTTGAGAGCATCATCCGAGGACACCAGTAGAGTCAGACCATATTGTTGTACTCTGGTAAAATCTTCTGGAGGGTAGATACCTCGCTGGTACAGAATACTGTTGATTCCATACCCTGGAAAGAGAACAAAATTGTTTAATAGAATAGAATATCACATTGTGGCAAATTTAAATCGCCTTCTAGTCTACCTTCATGCTAGAGGGATTTCCCCCATTAGCTCCATTGGTAGAGCAGTTGACTAGGAAGCTTGGAGTCCCTGATTGGGGCCTGGGTAAAGAACACGTACCTGGTATTCTCTTCAGTTACATGTGCATCGAGTCTTGGTCATAATGATTTGACATGATCTATCTAATATAGCTATTCATCATTCTTATTTTGGTACAACTTTCATAAAGTGCTGGCATGTATTAATATACATACGAAGTGGTTATATGCATGGGCTAGATTGAGATATGAACCTGGAGCCTCAGAAATTCCTAAAAAATAGTATTTTTCGCTTTTAGATATATATATATATATGTGTCATTTCTGGTTGCTACTGTATGTAGCAGAACAGTCTGGGTTGGGTCAATATCGCCAGTGACCAGCTATAGCTCTGTATGATTGATTGATAGGTTTTACGTCAGCTTCTCTACCGAGTAGTAGGTTATCCTGCAGACGAAGTAGCTCTGTATTTCTCTCCTGTTATAATATATTGGTGCCCATTTCCTACCCTTGTTTCCATTACTGCCTGAATGCCTCGCAAGCCAAACCTGGGTCGTAATAAACAGTTCTGTCAATTACAACTAAACACGGTAAGATCATCCATCTAGAATCTGGAGGGATCCACATTCAAATCCTAGCTGATGCATTTCTCTCTCCTGTTACATACATTCTGACCCTTAAGCTTCAAGATCTAGATGATCAACTGATCATAACGTTGATTCCTCTTTAATTGCGATATGTAAGAGAAATTAGGTGAGGATGCGGTCTGGATTTTCCTAGGCTTAATGCACCCTACCAGATATTTTGTTCTATCTAACACATTCAGATCTTATTATTACAGACAGTGATGCACTAACAACCAAAAATTAAAAAAAACTGGCAGTACTAGTACCCATATGATTTGTAATTAACGTTTAAAAGTACGGTGAACTCATTACTATGCGAGGCCGTATAAATGAGTTTTTTGCTTTCTTCTTTCCAAGAAACGAGCACGTGTACATGACAACGGGACCTGAATCGCTTTTGACGTCTACGTACGCATGTACACAGTGTAGATTCACTTAACTTGCAAGTCGTTATTAAAGTTCGAAGATGTACTAGCTACATACATTTAAGAATAACTCCTGGCAAGAATAGGGAAATCGTATTACGCTAATGACATAGGCTTAGAAGCCTGACATACCGTAATTAAAGGGACTTGAAACATTTCGGCTTGAGATCAACAAAATCTAAACAATCGCTTGAAAAACCAGCTCGGGTCGACTGACAGTAAACAAAGACTTTGCATTCGGAAAAACACAATATTATGTAATGGAGCGTTATCAAAAGTCATTAAAATTAAAAAAAAATATGCTTACAAAAGAATTCAGATACAATTTCTGTCGATCCCTTCAAGGTGATGGCGTTTTGAGATGAAGTCGCAGCCATTATTCTAAAGTTCGCGCCATTCGTTGCGCCCTCTATAATATTGATAACAAGGGAGCTAATTCGTTTCCATTTTGCTAACTACATTGATGGTAATATTGCTGACTCGGGTTTCCATTCAGGAATAACCAATAATAACTGCAACTTTACGTATTTTATATAAATATAGTTAAAATATTGTGCAACGCACTAACACGATATTTCATAAGATATCTTCTTCATTAATGGAGGGGCAGTAACTCTTCGAAAATATTCGATTCATTAGGTCCAGTATCAATCGCAACTTCTCGGCCAATTCAGGCTAGGCGCGGAATCATAGGTCTAGTATCTGGCACACTATGTTTAAATGCTGACAACGTTTTTTCACAACCATACACCAGGGACAGTATATTATACGTCCCTGCATACACTTATCTATGTCATAGTTCTTATTACAAATTGTTAGTCGAGAAAGTCTTTCTTGAAATTAACATGTATCATTTCTAAATAAAAGTCTTTCCGTCGAAAACTTCAACAGGAGTTGTGTGGTTTTACCACGGACTTAGCGGATAATCTAGTTCCGTGGTTTTACGTATACACTAACCCATACACGATCAGTAAGAAAGTCTAAGTAAACTTTCCAAACAGCGGACGAAATGCCTTGACCTGGTGTAGTTTAAGAAAAAATACATAACACGATGTTTGATCAGCAATACATTACTACAATTTCAGTCTGTTTAAAATTGTTCGCTGACTTTTAGCATTGAGATAACTATATATATGTAATAGGACGAGGAATAGTGATAAAGATAGTGCCGTCGCTGAGACTCGAACCCGCGACCCTTGGCTCTCCAGCCCGATGCTCTACCGCTAAGCAAAAGGGAAATTCCCTACAGCTGACGTAAGGCAACCTAATCAATCCACATATTTTACATATATATTAAAAAGATAGAAATGGCCACAATCCGTTTGTCTTTTCTATTTTTCTAGATCGACTGTACCAGGTATATTTTATATTTTGTATTTGAAAGGGAAATACAGAGAAAATGCCAGACGGAGAGTATGCGAGTTAAGTTTCAAAGTCGAGAGATCTATAGATCGAAAATTAGTTATAAGGCGAAATATAAATGATGTTTTTATATCCATGTTACGTACTCTTTGGGTCAAGCGTCAGAGTATAATATAATCTTGAAGGTATATGTTGTCATCAACATTATGAATTGATACAGTTGAGCATTATGCGAGACATCTTACACTGGGACATGAAAATGAAAACCCGAAAATATGAGAAAAAACCCAGAATGTTTTACCCGAAGCATTTTCTAGGGGTATATAACGGGGACCACATTTAGGGGATTTTTTTTTTTTTACCAAACTTGTGATAATTTGAATCCCTAAACCGTCTATTAATTAAGATTCCTTTCACATCAGGATAGGTTCAAACATACCATGTTGCGATAATTTGTTCTCGGGTCATTGTTATAGCCCCTAATAAAACTGTTTTTGGAAAGAGGTTAATGTTCTACGAGCTACTTATATATTTATTAATTAGTTGGTCGAATATGTTTATTCTTCTTTACTTGTATATACACAATTCACCATGAATTAATAAGTACATATCGTCGTGATGAAAACGAAGACGTTACTTCATCAGACCACAACGATAAATTTCTGTTGTACGGGTGTTCTTCAAATGGATATCTTTTTTTGTACATTCTATATATTCCTAGTACGTATTCCGTTAAAATTTTGATTTCATAATATACGCGAGTACCGTGTGCATTTTATTAGATAATTAATGTAAATAAGTCAGTTAGAATATCAGAAATGTTATGAAACCCTTGCATAGTTCTGACAGTGGCGGACTTAGGGGTGTTGCCCTAGTTGCACGGGCAAAACCCTTTTTGTGTCCAAAAATAATCTGGACTTAGGTTTTTGAAGTTTTCCTTCTTTTTCATATGGGATTTTCTTCTAATATCAACCATCCTGTGAACTATGATTTTTTATGGCAAGCAGCAGTTCGAATATCTATATATGCCTAAGGGTGCAGTTGCCCAAACAAGGAGTCCACTATTTATACTCTAAACAATAGGGGGTTAACCCTCTTTTGTTTATATATTAGTAGGGTCGCCAGTCAGGTCAGTGGTGAAGGCTCAACGGACTGTCTACCCTATTGTATTGTTCTAATGTCACGGTGTGGTGATCACCCTGTCCGTTGAGAGAGGACATTGCATATATGTTAATTGTTATTTCAAAGGTAGGGTCTATTTCATGATAGATAAACCTGTATTTTACCTGTGGTTTTATGTACACATGATGATGTGGCAAACATTGTATAATAGTCGTCCTGGTCGTATCAAAGGAAAATGTTTTCAGATTGTTAAAAATATGTATAGTAATATTAAATCATGTGTACAATACAATGGAAATACGTCAGATTTCTTCCCGTGCCTTATTGGGGTAAGGCAGGGGGGAAATCTTTCACCGTTCCTTTTCTCTTTGTTCCTAAACGATTTAGAAACGTTTTTTAAGTCGCTGGAATGTGTTCCGCTAGAAATGGTGATAGAAAAAATATCTGATGAACTGCATATTTTAATTGAAATTTTTGTCTTGCTATATGCAGACGATACACTTCTTTTTTCGGAAACTCAAGAAGGATTACAAAATGCATTGAATATTTTCAAGAATATTGCGATATATGGAAATTAAAAGTAAATACTGATAAAACTAAAATTATGATATTCTGCAAGCGGAAAAGTAACCAAAATCATGTCATCTTTCTCGGAGACGTAATACTTGAGATTGTTGATTGTTTCACATACTTAGGTATTATATTTAACTATAATGGAAATTTCGCTAAAGCGCGAAAAAACCCTGATTGATCAAGCTCAAAATTCATTATTTGCACTTTACATAATAAATCGGAATCATGCGCTTCCGATGGACATACAAATTAAGCTTTTTGATTCTGTTGTAGAGCCAATATTACTATACGGCTCAGAAGTGTGGGGTTTTGAAAATTTGAAAACGCTAGAGCAGACGCACCTGAAATTCTGTAAGAGAATTTTAAAAATCAGATCTAGCACTCCTACTTTTATGGTATATGGAGAAATCGGTCGGTTCCCAATGGAAATAAATATTAAACTTAGAATGGCACGTTTCTGGAGTAATTTAAACGATACGCGTAATGAAAGTAAACTCAGCAGTATATTGTTGAGATTGGCACCTAATTTACACGACAATGAATCAGATTCTTTTAAATGGATTAATAAAGTTAAAAGTTTTTTGATGAATCTGATTTTTCATACATTTTTGAAAATAAGATATGTATGAATAATATGTTCTTAAAAAAATCACCTTTAACAAAGACTTCGAGATCAATTTATACAAAATTGGTTTTCCGAAGTTCATAATTCGTCGAGAGGAGAATTCTACTCAATGTTCAAGTGTGAATTCGGTTTTGTAAAATATTTGAAAAAATTGTCAGAAAATAATAGACTACCTATTACCAAACTACGTACGTGTAATTTGAAATTTCCCATTGAAACTGGGAGGTGGCAGAATATTCCAAAAGTAGACAGGATATGTAACCTTTGCCTTGAAAATATTGGAAATGAATTTCATTATCTTTTTACTTGTAGTAACGTGAAAGTGAAAAATTTACAAAGAAAATACGTTCCAAATTACTATTGTGCAAATCCAAATAAAAATAAAATGAAAGGTTTTATGTCAATATGTCACGAACAAATTCTGAAAGGATTATCAATTTTCCTAAAGAAATTGATTCCTTTACTTTAAGCTAAAACATAAACATTATACATATACTATTACTTGTTGCTTCTATAGGTCCATAATATTGAAGCACATTATGGGTCTATATCACTGATATGTACAAATCAATTTGTAAAGTAGGCGACTATGTGAGTATTTTGGATACGGAAATGTATGCATATGTGCGCGTGTGTGTATATATGTATCTGGGATGTAGTCATATGTTTGTGAATATATGTGTGTATGCGCGTATATACGTAGGCGTCTTTTTGTTGGTATGCATTGTATGTGTATGGATGTGCACATATATGTATATGCAAAGGTCTGGATATATGCGTGGCTATCTACATATATGTATGCATTGCTGTGTCTAATTACGAAATAGGTCATTTGTACAACATGGTATCATGCATATATATATATATATATATATCAGTATCTTCATATACATGCATGCACCTGTCCATCCTGTCAAAATTTAATATGTTACACATTTTCATGTGTCTGAGTGTTGGAAATAAAATCTGAAATCTGATCACCAGGATTGATTTATTATACCTGTTAAAAAATGTAAATTTCAAAAATTTCAAAGACAATAAAGCATTCACCTTAGCATCACGTTATCAGGTGAATAATAACCAATGTTAGGATAAAAGCCTGGCATGTATATATATATATTTATTACATACTTACTAATAAATACGGGTTTTTTGTATATGCGATACGACCCAATTGCTCTTACCCATATCAGCCCTGGCCGTATCACACCACAAAAGCCGTATCAGCCCCCGCCGTATCACACCCCAAAACCCGTATCAGCCCGCAAAACCCGTATCACACCCCTTTTAGATTTTTTTTCGTTTTTCAATATTTCAAAAGAAAAAAAATATCGTAAGATAGTAGCTTTTATTAGTAAGTATGTAATAAACAGAATAAATCATGACTTTTTCCACACCCCTTTTTGATTTTTTTTTTCGTTTTTCAATATTTCAAAAGAAAATTTTATCATGAGATAGTAGCTTTTATTAGTAAGTATGTAATAAACAGAATAAAACATCACTTTTTCCATATCACACCCAGTATCAACCCTCGACTAATATCAGCCCTTGGGCTGATATTGCAGTCTCGGGTTGTGATATGGAAAAAGACATGTATTATTCTCTATATATCCCTTTTAACATGTGTTGCCCTTGTACATATGCATGCATACAAATTCACAATAAAAGACAAACAGTCAAATCATAATTCATATTCATGACAAAATAAATTAACATTTAATTGCCATA